AAGAGTTTTCGTAGTATATATTCTTCTAGGGGCTAATAATACGTAGTAATTTTCGTAACGACTACTATAAGCGGGTCTCTTTGCTTCTAGTGTACTAACTTAGCGTAACCGGCGTTAGCTAAGAACTCCTTAAAGCAAAAAGCGATATTTAACGAGTAGGCGTCTAAATCGGGGCGTACGGAAGCTAGCGTATTTATAGAATAAGCGTAGGCTCGGTAATCTTATAAAAATATAGGATAAGTATAGAGTTAAGGAACTAGACTAGAGTCGGGAAACTGTTAGGGTGCTTATAGGCTCTTGCCTCGACCGGTGCCCGCTTCGGCAGGTGCTAGTATAGAGTAAACAAACCTAGATAAGGAAGGCGGGCCGCCTAGTCTAGCGGTTAGAGGGCTATAGGGCGCCGTCGATTAGAGGGCTATTAGTATATAGCTATATATATACGGAAGATAATGTGCGGAATTTAAAGGACTGTCGTAATCGTCTCGGTATCGAGCGTAGGTAGTTGTTATAGTTAGGTAGGTAGGTCGGTGCCGCTAGTATAGGACCTCGCGGTCGCGTTTTTTAGTTTTTTAAGGTGCCCGTTCGTCTAGTACTCGAGTACTGTTCGAACGGATCTAGATCTAACTAAAGCGAAGCTACTAATTGTTATACGAGGGACGATTAGTAGGTTAGCTATAGTATAGTATTAGTAAGAGTATCTACGGTCCTACGGAAGTATATATAGGCCCGGCGTTCTGTGCCTACCGTAACACTCTATCTCTTAAAGCGAGAGACTTCGGTCGAATAGGATAACTATACAAATCTTAAGCGCTATTATATAGAGAAATAGGTTAAAGAGTTCGTTCTAAGTCTATCTTATCTATAGCGGCGGATAGAAAATCTCTAGTTATACCGTAACTAGCTACTTACTAAAGTAGACAAATCTATCTACCGCTTACTACGAGACCCTATAAGGGGACACGTTGCCGACTTTCTTCGTCGCTATACTAAACTCGACGAGCTAGTTCCCGCGTACGATATCGCCTTATATACTATTAGGTATATTAACTTAAGTTCCTAGAATATATTAGCCGACGAATACAGATTCTCTAGATAAGTTTATAACGACATTTTGTAATCGCGACTAATAATTTTTATAGCGACAATACTATACTATACGTATAGGAAGAGAGATCTTAAGGTTACCTTTATATATCTAGAGTGCTAGAATATTAAATGTTAGAACTATAAAACCTACTTTTAATAATAGAATTGTCTATATTAGTTCTTTATATAGCATATTTAGCTTCACACTATCGAAATATTAATCCGAGGGAAGATTGTCGATAGCAATATTAGTTATTAGAAGGCGGACTATTAATAATAAGAAGTAATTAATAGACGGGAGATAGTTCGACGGAGGGGCTACGTACTTTGCCTTTTCTCGCGAGTCTTAGAACTTATATATAGAAGGAGGTGCTAGTAGAGTTGCCCTACTTATCTGTATCTTACGCTATCTATATATCTATAATATCTCTACTACGTAGAATGCTATTAGTAGTTACGAGTTTTACTAGTCGTCGATTTTTATATAGATCTATATCTCCCGTATTATAGGATAACTCCTCTAGAAAAGGCACTACCGTTGCTCTTTTACTTAGTACGGATTACTAATAGAGTTAACTATTAAGCTATAGTCGAGAGATCTTCGTAACCTCTCGGACCTTATCGGCATTACAACTCTATACTTTCCTTCGATAATAAACGATAAGTTTCTCGAACCTAATACGGCCCCTTCGGACAAATCGGTATAGAAAGACATTAGTTATAAGGCGCTAGAGCGAATAATAATAGCGCTATTTAAGAAATAGCACGTTGCCGGCTACCGAATCTACACTATACTAATTTAACGCCGGATAGCTAATAAGGGCACTAACTGAATTTCCTAGATCTAGCGTAACCTTAGTTTCGTAATTAGTGCCCTAGGTATCTTATATAAGGTAGGTACGTATAATAGCTAGTATAATGTCGATAGTCTTACGCTATATAAGGCTAATAGTTAGTATAGCGCCTATTCCTTTTTCGACTAATTAGAAGGTCGGCCTATAGAGATAGCGTTAGCTACTAAAAGGTGCTTTCGGTGCTTAGTAGTAGTACGGTCGATTCGGGCCTAATCCTTAGGTTTGTCGTATTAGCCTAGTAGATAGCTAGTGCTATTATAGTTAAAGCACTTCAATCCGGTTAGGGGGTTACTATATCCGCTCGGATTAGCGCTAGAATTAGAGGAACGATTAGGGGTATATAGAAATAAGCCCCTTCCTTGTCCTCTTCCCTGCTAGGGGTTTCTACTATAGTATCGACCCCTGCCTCTTCTACGCTAGTAGTCGTTACTGTTTCTATTATTAGTAGTATTCGTTTAGAGAGTACTTCCTTAGTTTCTACTACGGCTACGGTTAGTAGCTAGTCGTATCTTAGATTCTAACCGTTACTATAGCTATACTATACGCTCTATAGTCTCGACTTTAACTATAAATTAAATACGTATAAGATTAGCCTATTCGAATATACGGCGGCGGTCTAATTCGAGAATAAGCTCCTACCTAAGCTTTAGGCGTAACTTAGAGATCTATATAGAATTAGTCTTAGCCGGAAGGTCGTCTTCGAGGGTCTTTAAATAGGCCTTAAATAAGCGAGCCGATTAATTAGTCTTTTGTTTAGCTCGAAGGTACTAGTCCTAAGCGTATTGTTGCCTTAGTATAGGGTTTCTAAGGGTGTCTAGTATAATAGTTTTATAGGTTTGCTACTAAATAGCGGTCTAGTTATTAAGGGAGTTAAAATAGTTATCCTAGGTACGCTTTAGGTCTCTATTAATATATTATATAGCATAGACGACTAACGAGTAATCGTCTAGAAAAGCCCTTAGTGCGTTTCGCTAGTTAAGCTTATAGTTACGAATTTAATCGTTGTATTACTTTCGACTAGGGCTATTAAACATAGTATAGTCCTTAAGCTTAGCATCCTTCTTTTAAATAGTTAGTAAGGAAGGCCCTACTACTAGTCTAGTATTAGTTATTAGGGACTCCTATAGGCGGCGAATCTCGAGGAGATTATCCTTTAGCTATTATTCTTAGCGTAGGGTAGTAAGCCTATTCTAGGCAGCTTCTTAGAGTCTCGCTACTAGCTAGGGGCTAAAGGCTAGTTAGCTATATCGTCGATTAATAATATTGTTAAGAATGTCGTTAATAGGTAGTTCTAGATTATTACCTAGAACTATAGGTTCTTCGGTAGGCCTAGCGGTAGGCTCTTTAGTAGGTGCTTTAGTAGGCACTTTAGTAGGCACTATACTACTAGCGTTGTCGTTGCTAGCGCTACTAGCGGCGCCGCGGTTATTGTTGCTTCGTAATAAGCCGGCTATTATAATAAGGGGTAATACTAATAATATATTATAGGCCCCTATAGTACGGATATAGCGGAATTAGCGAGTATCGGTCTAGTGCAATTGACTTAGTATAATAGGCTATATAGAAGGCCTTGCTTAATAATTAGTACGGTTGTTTTAGTAGAGTAGTACGTATAGGTCCCGTTCTTTAGGCGTAATATAATTAAATCGATAGTTTTCGTAGCTATACCGTAAAAAGAACACTATCTAGCTGCTACCCTTAAAGGGTAGATCGAATACTATATAAGAAGGGTTATATTAGTAGGTAGATAGGGTAGTAGTAGGTATAGGTAGTATTCGATAGAGATTTAGGAGGAGAAGGAAGAAGGTAGGCTAGTTAGCCTAACGCTAAGCGCTAAGCCCTACCTAAGGCACTAAGACCCTAGCTTTACTCGGTCTAATTATATACTAATTACGTATAGCCTCTTTAGCCCTAATAGTCCTGTCTAGAACGCTTATAGCGAGTCTTATCTAATACGCTAATAGCGAGTACTATCCGGAACGCCTATAGCGAGTTCTATCTAAAACGCTTATAGCGAGTTTTATCTAGGACGCTTATAGCGAATCTTAGTTAATATACTAATAGCGAGTACTATCTAGAACGCCTATAGTAAGCCCTATCTAAAACGCTTATAGCGAGTCCTATCTAGAACGCTTATAGCGAATCTTAGTTAATATACTAATAGCGAATCTTATCTAGAACGCCTATAGTAAGTCTTATCCGGAACGTTTATAGCGAGACTTATCCGGAACGCCTATAGCGAGTCCTATCCGAAACGCTTATAGCGAGTCTTATCTAGGACGCTTATAGCGAATCTTAGTTAATACGCTAATAGCGAATCTTATCCGAAACGCTTATAGCGAGTCTTATTCGGAACGCCTATAGCGAGCATTATCTAGAACGTCTATAGTACTTCTAATCTAATATGCTAATAGCGAGTCTTATCTAGAACGCTTATAGCGAGTCTTATCTAGGACGCTTATAGCGAATCTTAGTCGGAATATTTATAGCGAATCTTATTTAGAACGCCTATACTAAGTCTTATCTAAAACGTTTATAGTAATTCTAATCTAGAACGCTAATAGCTATTAGCGAGTACTATCTAGAACGCTTATAGCGAGTCTTACTAAGAATACGTTTAATACTTCTATTTATTCTATACGCCTTACTGCTAATTTAATTCCGTCGGTAGGCGTACGTCCGCGCCGGCGGCGCGGACGGTAGGCTAGTTTTGTATGTAGGTAAGTAAGCGCGCACGTGCTTCCTCCCCAGCCGAGCCTCTGCACGAGCGGGCGGGCGGGCGCGGGGTTGCCGCCGAAAGGAAAGATCCGAGCGCAGACTTTTGTTCCTCCACCTCCCATCTTCACAGACAGTTCATCGGCTCCAACGCGCTTCACTTCCACGCTCCGCTCCGCATGCCGTCGTGGTCGAGGTCGAGGTCGAGGTCGAGGTCGATATCGGGCTCCACTGCCTAGGCTGGCCCGATGGAAAATGACCTTCCCTACCCGGCGGCAGGGACGTTGATCAAGGCCCAGCCCAGCCCGGCTGCTGCCGGAGCCTCTGTCGATGCTGCTGACAACGATGCACGCGCCGCACCCGCAAAACGCCCTCGTACTGCCGGCGATGCGACCGACGGCGATGCAGCATCAGCATCGCTATCAGCATCGAATGGTGCGACTGGCCCCAACGGCAGCAATGCCACGACGACCGGCATCCAGCCCGCGCAGCGCCTCTACAGTTGTGGCAAGTGCAGCAAGAGCTATGCCCGCCTCGATCATCTATCGAGACATGTTCGCATGCATACGCAGGAAAAGCCATACGCTTGCCAAGTTTGCACCAAGGCCTTTGCACGCGCCGACTTACTGAAGCGTCACACTCTTGGCCATTCGAAGGATGATCCCCAGTCGAAGCCTACTATTATTCAGCATAGCCGAGTGTCTCAAGCGTGCGAAGCCTGTGCGGCACTTCACCTCAAGTGCGAAGAAGAGAAGCCGTGCAAGCGGTGTACGAAGAAGGGCATAGCGTGCAACTACACGGCCAACTTTGGACCAAGCGACATTCATCACTCACCTACGCAGAATGCAAACTCACCTCCTTATGCACAGCCGTACAGCAATGATTTTGCGCCACAGCCATATGGTAACAATGTCTCGCCCATGCAGAATATGCAGAATCTGCAGAATCTGCACCAAATGCATCACACACCTCCGATGCAACATGGAAATTCATATCCCGCGCCTGGCCAGCAAATGACGCCCATGCAGATGGAGCAGCCACCGCCAGCACCACCGCCAGCACCAATGGCCATCGATCCGGCAATGCTGCCAACACCGGCGCAGCAACCCAACATGTTTGATTATCTGCGAGACAAGATGATGCCTCCCGCTAGCCAGGCCACCGGCGTCCAAGCCATGGACTTCCAAGCCGGGCCATGGACTCCTCGCGAGCTGTTTGACTTCGGCGTTGACACCAATATGGACCTCAACGAGATGGATCTTACTTTCCTCGATGCCTATAACAACGCGAACCCCTTTGATCTCAGGACTCCGAGCATAGGCTTCCCCACAGCAGGATCGGATGTTGTGCAAAGCTACACCGCTGCTTCGTCGGAGCCGCCTATTGATAGACACGCACTACCAAAAGCATCCGTTTGGCGTTTTAGACCGATTTCGAAGGATAGCGGGAGCGCCGAGCAAGCGAACCTGTCGCTGCCTACGCCTACTAGTCTTGATATCGAGAGACGCGTGACTACAGAACCCCTCTCCCAGATATCTCGAGACAGGATTCTGGCTATGATACTCAGCACCTGCAAGCCTAACAGTATACCGCGTGCCGTCTCGTGCTTTCCATCTCTGAGTCTCCTGGACAGCCTCTTCCAATTCTCGCTAACTTCTCCGGGCTCACATGCAAAGCACTGGATCCACGCACCTACACTGCTAGCGGGCGTTGCGAGGCCCGAAGTCCTTGCAGCAATCGTGGCAGCTGGAGCTGTTTTGACCCCAGATGCATCGATACGCAAGGTCGGCTATGCAATACAGGAAGCGATCAGGAGTGCTGTATCAGTGCAGATCGAGGATGACAACACGCTTATGCGAGATCTCACCATCATGCAAGCCTCGCTCCTTCAGCTCAAAATCGGCTTGTGGAGCGGTGACTCCCGCAAGATGGAACTTGCAGAAGGCTTTCAACAGGTGCTTGTCACCATGGCTCGTCGTGGTGGACTATTCCGTCGTGGAACCTACGAGCGAATCGTTCCTGAAGCAGACGATGAAGCCGAAGCTCTTGAAGACAAATGGAGGAAATGGGTGAAGCAAGAGTCCAGGAAGCGATTCGCGCTGCATTTATTCCGGCACGACCTTGAAGCATCGGTCTCCTTACTCAGTAGCCCTTTGATATCATATGCCGAGCTTTACCTGCCACTACCGGAGTCCGAGAGCCTATGGCATGCGCCTTCTGCAGAATCTTGGAAGGCAACGTACATGCGCAATCCTGGTCCCAGGCATGAGCGACAGCCATCATTGGTCGATTGCATTCAGGACCTCGACATTCTAGGGGTCCGCGACATCTTCTTTGACCAGAGGCAAGCCAGTATGGCCGTCCTCGGTGCGGCCTGGCGCATGATCTGGGAATACAGACAGCTGGATTCATCGTTGAAAGACGTCAACAATCAATGGAGTAATGGCAACCTGTTGATGAACACGAGACATGGCGAGTTAACAAAGCTTCTCCAATGTTTCCGAATAAGCTCGGTTGAAGACACGAAAGTCACGCTCATCGTCGAGCTGCTGCTCATGCACCTACACATGTCTCTCGATGATGTGCAGCTTTTTGCAGGTGTTGAAGGCGAAGAGGAATCTAGAAGAGTTTACCCGTCCCTCGTGCAGTGGACTAAGACGACTACGGCTCGCCAAGCGCTGTGGCACGCAGGGCAGGTAATTCGAGCCGCAAGGGAACTTCGACCAAGTCTGATATGCGATTTCGCTGCGATTGCCGTATATCAAGCAAGTCTTGCGTTTTGGGCTTATGGGATAGTGAGCCGAGCCACCGAACCAGGACCGTTTGCGAACAATGGCATCACCGCTTTGCTTGATGGCGCGGACGACAATGCTGTGAAGCGCTGGATATTGAATGGCAAAGCTAACGCCGCTATCCGAACGTGGATCAACAAGCCTACCTCACCCCCAGCTGAGACTGCGGTCATGATCTCGAATCCAGATGAAGTTCTCGGCGCCGTGGTTACAGCCATGCGAAGAAACCACAATGAGACCAGGAACCCGCCTTTGGTCGACAATCTTATTAATATCATGGAAGGACTCCGGAAGGCTGCCAGGACATAGGACGTTGGGCGCTGCTTGTGCATACCAGAGTCTTTCCCATTTTAGTTCTCACGGGTCCGTCTGGCAACACTGCCGATCAAGGGAAGAGCATGAGAAACAGCAGAAACAGCCGGAAAACGGACAGCTAATGATGACTTCTTACTACATCGTCGTAAATTGTCCACTTTCACCGCCTCTTATTTCCTTGTGTCTCCTCTAGCTAACTGTTGCAGTCATCACAGTGCTATCCGGACATAAAAGCTTGCTATGCGTCGGATACGCCTTTGTCTCCAAGAGGTCGGAACAGGTTTCTCGATGTGTTCGGTGGTCTGAATCTTGACTACATGTATACTTCAGCAATTCAAGGTTACGTGCTCGATGCACGCGCCAAGAATCTGCTTTCAATGTAGTACGAAAGGCAGGCCTTCCCGGTCATCCCCAGAGAGTCGCGATGATCTTGTACCACGACGAGGGACGTCATTGCTGAGATTCAGTGCAGTGCGGCAAGTCTCTGTACTGGAATCACGATCGAGGGCATGGAGGATATCGTAGATACAGTGAATGGCACTTCGCCTTTGCAGTATTTGTGTAGCAATGTGGCGGGCAGTACTGGGTTAAACTGTACTAGAAAGCCTTGGGGCGAGAATAAAAGTAGCGCACGTGCGAATGCAGTTCGAAATATCGTGTCACAAGCCGGCAACCGACCTTTTCACATGCTCGGCCCGAAGCGGACATGGCCTGTGCGTCAGCTTCCACGTCTTTTTGAATGCGAGCGCTCGTCTTCTACTTAAGCAACACACGACACACAACCTCGACTTGACAGAGCTGTAGAAAAAACATCGTATTTCATTAACTCGATTACAACAAATCGGCGACTAAGGTGTACTATAACCTCTTCTCTACTATAGCCGGGACTGTGAACTGACAGAATCAGTAGTCGCAAGCGCCGACGTCGCCATGACCGTCATTATGGACAAATTGCCGTCCATTAAGAGCCTTTACAACTCCTACTACGCACTGTCGCCGCCAGTCTCAACAGAGACACCAACAGTCGACTCTGCACCTATCACTCACAATAAAGAGCCCTCGAGCGAGGACCGAATCCGTGTTCCTTGTCCGATCCCACCACGAGATTCGAACCTCGATATGGAAGCAAATCAAGTTGAGCCTGAACAGTGCGGGTTCATTCCTCTGTATGACGGTTGCAATGCTCCCCGTACGAAATTTGAGGAGGGCAAGGGCCATCCGGTTCGTGGATACTGCGATCACCATGTGCCATGGTCATTGGAACCGGTTGATGGCAGTGAGCCACAGGATGTCGGCGCAAATGGCATCGATGGCGCAGTCCTTGAGCACGGAAAGAACACCGGCGCAGACGAAACCCCGTTGCCGACACCATCTGCGAACACTGCTCCCGACGGTGAGGACGCATCGCGGGCGGATGACTACGGGCCTTGGGGCGAGCCTATCACTTTCGCTGATTTCACGTATCTCACGCTGCTAAGCCTTGTCAAAGACAGCGAGCACTGGGTGCCGAATGATGTTTCTGCGTCTGCGTCACAGACTTTGACCTGGAACGACATCGAGAATGCCGATTTGGAAAAGTTCTCTGGAGACGAGAGGGGATTCGTCACCTCCGAGCCTGACGCACTATATACGCCTTGTGTATATGCGCCATCTCTTCATGAACCGTCTCTGACCGCATCCTTGGACCACGACGCCTCTTCTCAACGATCTGAGGCTGCCGAGGTCTGCTCCTTGGTCTTGCTGTTGCTCATCATCTCGCTCACTTTGAGCTCTCTTTACAAGTACCTACAGCGCCGTGCCTCAGCAGCTGGAATGCGCAGTCCTGCCAAGTCACGCAAGAGCGCCAATGACGATGGCAACAATGTCGAGAATCACCCTGCTTGCAGCTCCGGCATGACTCTCGGCTTTGTCTCTGGCTCCTTACTGACTCTCTCAATGTCACGAACTCACGACCAAGCCCTCGAGCGTGCTGGTATCTGTGTCGGCACCGTCACACTCTCCTGGCTCATTATGAACACACTCGCTACCGTCAACGTGATTGTGCACGAGCGACCTGCCTGGGCAGTCCGAATTCTGGATCACATCAAGGCTTTCTTCGATCAAGTCACGAAGAAATCTCGCGCAGGATATGCTAAGATCTGCAACGCCATCTTGCGGCTCGCCTGGCATTGCGCATTTGCAATCATGCTTATGGCTTTCATCATGCTTCTGCTCGCGAATGCTACGATGAAGTCTCTCCCAGAGACGACAGGTGAGGAGAAGGCGTCGAATCAGGGATCCAGTGCTGCACAGAAGAAGCAAGGCGAAGAGAATGACGATGCTAAGCACAAGGCATGGACGAAGCCATGCACACTCGAGGAGCTTGATCCACCCAAGATCAATCCTTGGCTTAAGCGCGCCGAAGAGCAGCGAGCTAAGATTGCATCGGCTTCTCGTGCATGGGAGTCATCGTCTGACGAACCGAAGGCCAAGTCAGCTTCCGAGGCCGACGAGTGGGAAAATAACCGAAGTTCGGCATGAGAAAGACGTCTACCAGCGAGATTCATCTGGAGATCGCAAAAAGAGCGCTTGATGAAAAAAGTGAGATATCAGCTTTTGCTTAAAATTGTGCGTTTTGCGTTTGATAGAATATACGGGCATAGTTGCGTTGAACCGGAAGGCGCGAGCTAAAGGCAGTGTTTGTCACTCAAGGACACAGACACGTACAGTCTCTCATAGCAGCACTCAAAGGGGAGTTCTACAATCAGCTACATCATTTTCCACGACGTCTCGAGACGGAATTCGGGAGTCAAACCCATACTGTCAGTGCATCACAGCACTTCTCCCTCTCTCTTTCTCCAACTACACACATCCGCTTCATTTTCCAAACCCCCCCAAAAATCCTACCTTCATCGTTAGCATGTCTCGCCAGCGCAGCACCCCTCGATCGGCGTTAGAACTGGTAGCATTACCAGTGGTTAAACAGAAACGGAGGAGGAGGAGGAGGAGTACCAGGTAGGATTCAGTGCCAATCTCAATGCCGGAGGTCTGCTGGCTGCCGCTGCACAGGGTGACTTCAATGCTGCTGCCGAAGTAGCTAACTATGGTTTCAACGCTGTTGGAGATGCTGCTGACTAGTGGTGGTGTTGGGAAGCGTGACGAGTAAGCTCAGTAGGAGCAGCAGCAAGGCGCTTAGACTGCTAAAGGCCAGTAGACTCAACAGGATGCTTAGCACTAGGGTCCATACGGAGGCTTCGGTCAAGGCTCAGCAGATCGTCTTGGTGGTGACATCGTATAAGTCCTCGCTCTGCAACCGATTCACAATGTTCTTTTGAGATCAACAACTGACGTTTCGATCAAGCGACTTCTTCCACAAGCACTAGATAATCAATCAGTAAAGCAGAGTTGGGGAATATGAGGTAAAGCGTGGCAAAGTGGACCCGTGGTTACGTGCAAACAACAGCATGTGTGAAGGTGTGATAGAGAAATGATTGTGGAAATTGTTACAAAGCTAGAGTCTCCCGGTTCCATGCTTCTGTGTACCTGAAATCCTTCGCCACGCATGCAGTATGCTCGTTCCGAAGCTCTTTCGCGCTTCTCTTGCTGACGGGTGTCTTCAGTTGCCTCTCAAGCTACGTCGTGGCTTCCTCCGTGGAGGAGAGTGAGCTTTGACAACATTGCATTGTCTTCATCTTTGGCTGGTATGATCATGCCAGGTGCAGTAAGTCTAGCACTGATGTGAGTGCTGTAAGATACGGATGTTCGACACCTCCGCGGGACGTTCCCAATCTTGGGCCACGTCGATTTCAAGCCTCTCACAGCGGGACTCAATGCTGTGTGAAGTGGAAGTGCTCCACGTTTGAGTCGTACTGATTGCCGCAACTTCAAAAGTGCGCAAATCTTGCCCATTGCTCAACGTTCTTCAGGATGTCCGAGACAGACCAATCTGCACCGCTTCGGGATTCGAACATAGGTTCCATATTGTCTTGGTTCCATAGTCTCCATGCATGGTCCTCACCCAAACCAAAGATACTGTCCATCTGCAGATCCTCCAAGCTGAGATTCTGGCCCAGATAGCGTAAGAAGTCTGTAAGTTCAGACTCCTCGCCAATGAAGTCGTAAACTCCGAGACGCAGCTCTTTGAGAGTGTACCGTGACCAACTCGATCTCTCGAATGTGTCGCGCAAGTGCAGGCCTGGCCGACATGTCGCGCAAAGCACGCAAAGACGGGGCTGTAACGAGGTGGCGGCGAACGGTGAAGAAGCGCTCTCAGCAAAGACATCCAGGCTGTTCTTCTCGAGGGCGCGACAGGACAGACGCGACGAAAGTGGAGGAGCGCGGCATTGTCGAGGGATTTGGCGATGGAGATGTGTATCTCGGCCGCCATGTCAAGCAGGCATGTCGTCGAGGTGGTACTCTTTTCAGTGGTGTGGTACTGGTACACTTTTCAGTGGGTGGTGTGGATGAGAACGACGGCGACTAGCGGGACTATCCGAGCAACTTCGCTGAAGTGAAGTGAAGGACCTGCACCAGACGTTCCATCAAGCATCCCACCTCCTCGCCCTCACAACTTCCTAGGCGGACACCTCCCCCTCGCCTCGCCCTTACAACCTCGTCCGGATGTTGCTTCTTTGCTGCTGATTCGAGGGATTTCGTCGAAGAAAGATGGACCTTTCCATTTGTCGGAAAGGTGGTGGAATTACCAGAATCGTGTGCCATTGGAGTCTGGTCAGGGTGTGGGGAAGATGTTGGAATACGCATTGGATGAAGTGTCGTGACGTCGCTGGACGTCCGATCACGCGCGGGATTGACAGGGTAGAAATCTCTTGTGGCAGAGATGGGCAGAACAGTAACAGAGTCATCGTTCCAAAAGATACAACTACCAATATCAATCTCTTTTGCCATGACAGGCACGCTCCAGGGCGCCAGCGCTAATAGAACCCCTTCCCTGCCATCCGGCTATGCAAGCCACATTTTCCCTTCACTCTTAACTCCACGCTAAAACCTCAGATCATTTCTCGCCACCACCACATCATCCCCTCCTCACAACCACGGCATCCACAGCAGATCAGTCTGGCTCAACTTCTCAGGGTTCGTAGCCTTAGCCACGAGATCCAGAACACTCTGACTAGCAGGCAGATTGTGTCCTGTAGGCTCTCTCGCCAGACCGACAGCCTTGCCAACAATCGCCTCCGAGTTCCTCTGCACGTGTTCGCGCATCTCGCCTTCCTTGACGTTCTGCCGGTGAGAGGACATGTACCAGAACGCAATCTCATCTCGAATGAAAATGGAAAGGTGATGTTCCAGCTCAGAGTTCGAAGACTCGGAAGCACCATTCGTTTGAGCAGCACCATTCGTAGCAGGAGTGGCCGAGGAAGTGGTGCTGGATGAGGCATCGGATGTCAAGCATCTAGCGATGGCCATGAGAGCGCACGTGAAGATGCCTTCCGTATGAATCGGACCCATCAAGACTTGCAAGGTTGGCGTAAGACGGAAAGGTACCGGCTCTGGTTGATGGAAGAGCGGTCGATTCGCCAGCATGAATGGCAACAACTCCGAGCCCCAAATGTTGCCGTTGCTTCTGGAAATGTGCATCTTGTTGGGGTAGCGCACAGTCATGAACATCGTGAACGTGATGTATGTCAGTGCCGCGAGCTGGTACGAGAATTGTCGGCGGAACAACCAGAAAGAGTCGTAGGATGGGAATGTGGCAGCGAAGTAGTCGCGCGCCAGATCCTTGGGCACATAGTGCTCTTGAACGTAGTTGAGCGACTCGATGCGCATGTTGAGCCATTGCTCTTGTCTCTGGTTGGGCGTGATCGAACGCATCTTCTCCATCGTGAACATGATCGGCTGGTCCTTGTCGGTCTCGTTGCGCCGGCAGTAGTCTTCCCAGACAGCTTGGAGCGACGTGTAAGACGGATCGTCCTGGATGATGCGAATTTGTGGACTGAGAGGAACCATGGCCGGTAGATGGAATTGCAAATTGCGACGTCTGCTTTCCTTCTTCTTCGACAATGTGCTGTTGAAGATTCGGAACAGCTGCAGGATTCTCTCCTCTCGCCTGCTGTGTCTCGGCGCCGGGTGTTGGATTGCGAATGGATGCACACTTCCATCATGTCCGCGAATCCTCAGACGTCGATGACAGCTTGCAACGCCACGTACCAGGTCGACATTAGGCAGGAAGCGCTCAATCCTTACAAAATCTTGGTTCTTATCCTTGTGTTGTAGGTATTGGCCAGGAATCTCAACCTCATCAAACCAGACAAACCTAAAACCGGCCAAATGAGTGTTCTCAGCCAGATGGAAGGTGGTTGATCGGCGGTCAAGTCGTTCTGCAAGCTTGTCTCGCCATCTCCGCAGCTTTCCAATATACTCCAGCATAGTCGGCTTCTTGGTCACAAAGTCCTGCTCGAACGACTTGCGGATATGCGGCGGCAGAATGCTCTCAGCGAAACGTGTGATGTTGGCTTCCGTCTGAGGAGGCAATTTGTTGTCTTGGGAGAAAGACTGTGGAGAACGACCCACGTAGCTGAGAGCATCGTTGAGCAGCGCAACGATGAGTCGGTATGCGTCCTCGTCTGGCGGACACTTGAAGTGGCGCTGGATCTGCTCGACCATGGCTTCCATCGAGGCGTACAGCAGAGGGAATGCAGTCCGCAATGTTATGACGAGAGCCTCTGTGTGCTCCCATGACTTCCGTGGCTTCGGTGCCTCACCTTCTTTCTTCTCTTCGCCCTCGCCTCCTTCCTTCTTCTCATCTGCCTTGGTCTCGCCGTTGGTGGTGGGCAGTGATGTGTCGCCAGCCGATGTGGTTGGTCTCGACTGTCCAGCTGAACTATCAGGTCTTGCAGGCGATTCACTCTTGACGTTGTCGCCGCTGGCAGCACTGCCGGCTTGCTTGGCTTTCATTGCCTTCTCTTTCTGCTCCCTCAGCATCAATGACTTGCGGATAGCTTGGTGGTCTTCGTGGCTTGTGCGCAGAGAGAAGTGCAGAGCTTGAGGATATGTCTTCGCTAGACTTGTCAAGATCTGATGTGCGATGTTGGCCTCGCTCTCTGTTCGTGACAGATTGGCAATCAGCTGTGGGATGAATGTCACCCAATACCACCAGGGATGGTCACCGTGATAGTCATAGAACTTCTGAGATAGCTGACCATCCGCGTCATCCAAACTGAGGAGCCAAAGAATGCGACTAAGCAGTTTCCGAGATTTGGCGCTCTTGTACTGTCCTGCGGCCTCCAGATAGCAAGACAGAGCGTTTGAGCCGGTCTCCAGATTCGTCGGGTCCTCCTTGAAGAGCTTGTCGTTGTAGCGTCCCCATTCTGCCCAAGCCTTTGGTAGCTTGATGTCGAAGAACAGGGCAGTGCCAAAGGCGTCGCTCGCCTCGTCCTTCTGGTTCAGCTTGCTGAGAAACATGCCCTTAAGAGTGTAGAACTCTGCCTTTTGCTGCTGACCAAAGTAGTTCAGGTTCGTGTTGTTGATCACATCTAGCCCATTGGTAAGCTCTGCGCGGTTCTGGTAGTGACATTTTGCTTGTTCCCTCAGCTTCAAGAATGCCTCTTGAATTTCAATGTTGGGAAGCGTGTAGATCTTGCTCAGTTGTGTGATGCACACTTCCGGCATTTGGTGCTTTCGAGCCACGTGAGCGAATCGATTGATAATCCAGGCCGTCTCGTGGTATCCGCGGTAAGCGTAGCTATTCCCTGTCGCGGCTCCTTGGCCGCTAGGGATGAGGTTGAGGTACGTCCCATTGATAAGCTGGAAGATGTGTTGACGCCATGTCACCAGGTCTTGCCATGCATTGATGTCGTCCCATAGGTTTGGTAAACGATCTCGCCACGTCGACAGGAGAACCTTCAGCTCTTGGGATTTGACATCCAGATTTGTGGCATTCGTCTGCGCCAAGCTCTGGCAAATGACACTGGCATCGTGCAGTTCAACCAGCTGCTGGAAGTTCTGCAGAAGCCCAATATGCGCGTTGGTGATGCGGCGGGGCAGCTTGTGCCAGTTCTTGATCGACAATTGAATGTTTTCGTCGCAAGTGCGATTGAACTCTTGGGGCTGCTCGGTCTTGTTGTGTAACTTCAGCAAAGACATAAATGCCTGGAAGAACATTCTGCGTGGAGTCGGCGCATCGGAAACAGCCTTGATCACAGTCTCCAGATGGTCGCGGTTTTCGGCATTCTGCCATGTCTCATAGTTCCTCCACATTGCCTCGAGATAGAGATCGTTAATGTTCTCGTGCTTTGCGAATTCTCCAAGGATGTCCCACTGCTGCAGCTTCTGCGCGCAAAGGACCCACTGATCTTCCCACAGCATGTATTCGCCCTGCGAGTATGGCAAAGATCCGGTCCTAGCTTTGACCTGTGCCTGCTCGTACATGTTCTGAGCCTTGTCCCAGACGCCATTCTGCTCATACGACAAAGCAGCGTTTGTCTCTACATATGCAGCGCGTCGACGCCATGTGCCGTAGAATAAGTCACTCTCCTCCAGGCCAGCGTATGTCTCGACCAGGGCGTCGAGATTGCTCTCCCGAACATTGGTCGTGTCAACGGTCGGTTTCATGGCCAGATCTTCCATGTAGGTTGCAGCGACGTACCAAGCGTCGTAAGACTTGGCCAAATACTTCATCACGTGGGGTGCAAACTTGACTGCAGGTCTGGCTCCAGCAATGCCCTCCAGCAATGTTGCTACACAATTCGGCCGCCTGTCGATCTGACGCTGATGGAAGTCCTTGGTGAGCAGGGCGACGAGCCCTTGTTCGATGTCGTCTCGATCATCCTTTGGAAGTATGGACCAGCACATCTTGAAGTATGCGACCCAGATATCGTGCGCCAGCGTCCAGTCAGTGTGCTGAATCTCGGCGAGAGGCACCAGGACCTCTCTTGCACGAACAGTGCTGATTTCCATCATGAAGCGCTTTTCGTCAACCAGCAACTCCTCGAGATTGTCATCGACCATGACGTCGTTCACCCGCGTGTCACTGATGTATGTGCTCACAGCCTTGGACTCTGGTAGACATTTGAAATCGTCCTGGTGCAGATGGATTGGCGCATGCTGGTCAAACGAACCGAACATGAGCTGGATAACCTGGCTCAACCAGAACGAATCACCGAGCACGTCCCATTGTTGCTCACTGATCAGCTTGTAGAATCGATTGCTCGTCGAGCGGCTCAAAGCTTTGTCGTATATGCCCATGAAGCGTGCTCGCATTTCGATATCCGGGCTTCTGAGGCCGATGAGGAATGCATGCTCCATGCGTACGGCGAGCTCTGATCGGGTGATCTTGGGATCTTCGTAGATGCGGATCACCAAATTCATGAACTTGGTGTACAGAGTCTGGTCTGGTCTGCTTTCGAAGAGCAACATCTTCTGGAGGACAGCCGTCTTCTCCTTCAGCGTTGGCACGGGCTCCGGCGAATTGAACACCCAATTCTCCACCTGACTCAAAATCTTCTCGCAGAGTGCATTATTGGTCGATCGCTCCACAAGACTGGCGAGAACGCTGAGATACGGCCTGCGACTCTCACCAAGAGTGCTGATTCGGGCTGACAACATTTCAATCACCTTGATGATCATGTCCACGGTGATTTGAGCTTCCTGAGGCGTCGGTTGCGCGTTCTGCACGCCTTGTGCCATCATCTGCTGAGGGTGCATCAGAGACGCCAAGTGATCTTTAGCAAGCTTGGTCTGCAACGTCTTCAGCAAAGCTGCAGTATGCGTGTCGACGTCCTCCGGCTTGCGCTGCGCCATGATCCACAAGATATTGATACCTGCGACATGGCTGCCGTTGTTGAGCAGATTGCCCGCTTCGGTTGTCAAAAATCCTGTGAACTCTTCTGTCGGGCTGTCTGCGTCGGGGAGCTCATCGTCAGGCGCCTGCACCGGGATCGGATCAAGAGCACGCCTGAGTATTGGCGGAAGCTGCGGCACAACATGCTCTTGGAAGTCGGCATTGTGCAGCGCATCTTGGATTTCTGGAGTCTCACTCTTGAGAGGCTTGGCCAAAAGTTTTTGCAGTTGTGGCAAGCGTGCAATGACCCATTCATTCGGCCTCGAGTTCAGCAGAACCTTGAGGATTTGAATGGTGTTCACAACACGAGTGGTCCAGATCTCCACTTTTTCCTCCTGCTTATGCTCCGTGCAGAGAATCTGCTCCGTCACTTTCGGAAACATGCCGTCGATGTCCAAGTCATCCCAATATGGCGGCGAAAGCAGTTTTGACAGCAAGTCGAGGGATTTTGTCACAGTCTCGTGGGGCTGCTGTTGACTGTTGCTTGTTGGAGCGTCTTTGCTCTTTGGCGGCGATACTGGGAATCGCTCGGGAAGGGTTGCAATGAACTGCACCATGTATTTGATGAAAACCAGCCGCAGAGTGCTGTTGGCGACGACAGCCTTCTTTGGATTCTGCTTTCCATCGGTCGTAGACTCGCCACCAGTCAGAGAGCCGTGCTCACGGACGGTGCGCTCCTCCCATTGCCAAATCAACGTGAATAGGTTGAGAGCGAGTCTCCTGCTATCGGCACTCGGATTCGGAAGCTGCACCACTTTGCTTATGGATGGAATGATGATCTGGGCGAAGCCGTCCCGAGCTTCGTAGAAAAGATCTGGATGCCGCACGAGGAAGTGGTAGATGCTGGTCAGCTGAGGCACATTGCTGATCTCTTCACTTAGGATCTTGCGTGGTAGTCTAGCCCAGATGCTTTGACGACCCTCTGGCCCTCCAAGACGCTTCTTGAGCACAGGCTTGAGAATCTCGAGCGACTGCGAAACCAGATTTCGGCCCTCGGCTTGATGCGCGCGAAGCAGACTGTTGTACACCTGCATTGCAATCTTCGGCGGCGTGTCGTAATTGTTGATGAAATATGTGATCAAGCAGTAGGACGCAAATTTGTTGATGTGGTCCTCAAGTCGGATGTAGTTCCAGCCAAACTTGATGAGATCCTTCCTCGTCTCTTGCAGCATGGAATGATGATACTTGATCAAGAATGCGGAAGTCTGGAGCAGTTCCATCCTGCTGTGATCTACTCCTTGCGTGTTGTCGTCAGAAATGTCGGCGACCGATTGTGGTCTCCAAAGCTTGTTGTGTACCGCATTTGCCATAGCTTTGTCAAAAAGCGCGGTACCGTTGTTGACCGGCTCCATGAGCGTGTCCCAGTTCCGTGAGACGTCATTCGCCAGGATCGGGTTCGAGACATTATGGAAGGCAAACCACTTCAGCTTCTGCGGCGTATCTTTGGACATGTAGATGTCAATGCAGCGATTCACAATGGAGCGCTGATATTCCACATCGTCCACGGTGATGACATTCTTGTAGAGATACGCGAGCAGGGTGGGAGTCGCCTGAAGTTCGTCTTGAACGCAGGACTCGAAAATGTCGAACAGGTAATCAAGATCGTCCCTGTGATCGCCGAGATAGACGGTCACGATATGCATGATCTGCTCGGCGGACTGCATCACCGCAAGTCGCAAATTCTCAGGTAATGTGTGGTCGTGCAGCTTTTTCTGCAACTGCTTTGTTGCCTCCAGGAGAGCTTTGCGAGTGGTCTCACTGCTGAGCAGCTGCTTTGCGTGCTCTGGGTACTGAGAGATCGCATACGCAATATGGACGGCGTTGACTGCTGCATGAGCCTTCTCAGAGTCCAAATTATCTGCCTTGAACGTCGCAACAAGACCTTCAGCCTCCTTGATCACCTTCTCCCTTAGTGTTGCGCTCTCAGGATCCTCAAGTATTTGAGCAAAGAAACGTCCTTTTGCCTCGTTCTTCATTGCATCGCGAAAATAAGACCATGACTCGTTTGGATAGTGGTTGAGGTACTTGATGAGTGGTTCGCGAAAAGGGCTGCGTCTCGTCCTCCTGAGAGCTTCCTCGAGTTTCAGCACTCGCTTGACGAGATCGTCCAAGAATTGAGCGGCCTGGCTTGGCAGGAGATGAAAGACGCTGAAGATCGCGGTTACAACCTTCATCTTAGGTTGAGCTTCGATGAGTTGGAAGGACACCTTCTGAAGGGTGGGAGTATCCGCAATCTTTTCCATGTGGTCAAGCAACCGAGTGCCAATCTCGACCTTAAAGTAGTTGTGCAGCAATTGCAGCAACGTGCGTAGGCCCTCCAGACCCTCCACGCTTAGCTTTCTCGGATCCTGCACATTCATCAAGATAGGTCGCAGTCCATTCTGTAGAAGGTCTTTGGGAAGTTTTGACGTGGACTGGAGAACAATCTTGAGTCCGGCATTGGCGGCACCTGCAACATCTTTGTTCTTGCTGTACAGACTCTTGAAGAATATGCTTATTACTCTTGCACGGTGCTGTCCACTCTGCGGCTGGCCTTGCTGATTCTGCTGCCCAGGAGTTGCGTTTGCGCTAAACCCTGGTAGCTTGATCGCGGTAGCCAGCAATTTCAATCCGGCAACACGCAACCGGACGATGTTTTCAGCGGTCCGAAACTCGTATGGTTTCGGCGCCAGGCTTTCGTCGTCTGCGTCAACGAGCGCTAAAGTCTCGAAGAGCAATCGGTTGAGGTTGTCGTCGAATGGCAGAATTTCCTTATCCAGAGGCACATCGAGGAGGAAATCGATGGCATCGATGTAGCCTATTTGTGCAGCGAATGGCAATGCTCTCAAAGGCTTGATGAAGATGCCGAACGTGAGTGCGTCCTTGACAGGCGCGAGCAGCTCATGGGGCGGCAAATCGAACGAGACGGCAAGAGCGCGTAGAGCAGATTGAGCAGCCTCGCGCACATGCCGGTTCATGTGGTTGACTTCTGAAATCAGATATTTTGCATGGCCGTGAAGCTTGCTTTCCTTCTTTGCAAGGTCGTCCTTATTCTCTGCTCCACTGCTGCCGAATCTCTTGACCAAAGCAACGATAGTATCTTTGGCCTGCACCCGGATGTTGGCAGGGAGATCCTGCGGCATGTCCTTGATTACAAACAGCAGGGCTTTAAGCATCTCCGACAAACGATCGTTGGTAAAAGTGTCCGAAAATTGCATCTTCTGCTTATCGGTCAGGACAGTGATGCCCACAGCGCCCGAATTCTTGGTGAACCATTCCTCTTCATAGCAGGCGTGGCAAAAAGCTTCGGACAAGCGGCTGAAGAATGGTAGACATTCTGCCTTGGTGGACGAGCCGAAGATAGTTGATGCAAATTTGAGACAAGACTGCATAGCTCGTTCAGTGGTTTCCCTGACAATCTTCTGGTCAGAAGCCAGGCTTTCGCAGAACGCATCAGCGAGCGTTGATGTTTCCACAAAAACGGGACCCTCTCCAGAATGCACGTTGAAAGGTCGCCGGTTGTGTTTCTCTCTGGCAACAGCGACTCCGAGCTCAACGAGCATAAAGTGGCGACAGATGCCCAGCAAGAATTGGTCGGCATCCTCCTTCAACTGCTCGATGCTTGTGGCATAAATGAGTGCCTTCAGCAACTTGAGAAGTGTCTTCTGTTGCTCGTCGCGCTTGACTGTCGACTTTGATCGCTCTGATGCAGAAAAGAGATCCGAGCCGAAGTCAAAGTCTTTCGATGCCAGGTCATGAGCCTGTAGCCTCACTAATTTGGCGAGGTCATCAGGAAGGTTGTCCGATCCGACGAGCAGCTTGATGTGAGACACGATAAACTTGAATGATTGCCGCTTGTGATGCTCGTCTGAGGCTTTCTGTGCGGCAGTCTTGGGCATTTCCCAAAGCTTGTCGATGGCCGAGTCGATGCCGAGCCGAGCGGGCATAGCACGCGCACCGCCACTGCTAATAGCGCCAATGAATCGAAGGTCATAGCTAGCTTCATCATCCGAGTACTGCTTCCAGTCGAGCTCGGGTGGATTGACGAGAAACTTCCGATTTCTGCCTCCCAGCTTGCCAAGGATGCGAACGGCAGTGTGGGCGCCCTGGTGGCCGGTGCCGATGGTTACGGGTCCATTCGGACCAGCTATGCTACCACCTGTCAAACTTGCAGGCTTAAGCATCCGCCACAAGCTACCCATAATCTCTTCCATCCAGGGCTGCATGATCGGATCCAGATAGTCGGCCGTAAGATTGTCAACACAGAGCTCCAGAGTCCGCAGACCCTGGGCGGTGAGCTCACTAGATCCTCCGCCACGATTGTCGTTCGACGATCGGTCGTTGGAAGATGGTCGCTGACTTGATGCGGAGAGGGGCTCTCCGGAGCGTAATGCGACAGTCAGAGGCCGCATCAGATACGACAAGTGCGGCAGGAGGTGACTAAGTCTAGCCGGGACCGTAAGTGATAGCTCGACGAACAGATCGCGAGTGCTGCCATCTGGCGCCGCTGCAAGCTGAGTATTCAGAACCTCGAGAAGCATCTCCAGTAGCGGCAGGATCTCCTTGTACAGATGCTCGAAACGGCCACCTCCGATACTTCTGAAAAGACTTCTCAGGAGCAGGAAATAATTCGTGGGCTCGGCAGCGGTTATGGAGAGCTCGATTGATCTGGTGATGAGCTCACGCACATGAGGCAGCAAAACTCCTTCATTGTGTTGAGAGAAGAGTGTGACAGCCATGAAGGAGAGCTTAAATAACCTCAACAGGACAGACGTCTTGGAAGCATCAGCCTCGCCAACCTCGTCAAGCTTGCTCATCAGAAACTTCAACAGCATGCAGCAGAATGCCGGACTCGTTGCTTCACTAGCCAGCAAGAACTGCGGGATGTGCAACAAAGCAGCATGCTTGAAGCTTTGCGTGTACAAAAAAGCCATTCCCGACGGGTTCCCCGAGGTAAAGATCTCGTGAAACGTGGCAGGATCGAGGTGGTGGAAGATGGTTGCAAATGTTTCGAGCAGGTCCTTTTCTTCCTTGCTGTTAGCAGTGGTAGCGATGCTCGAAGTTGGCTCATTGGGCAAGCTGTTGGCTGCCGCGGTGTCTAGCGGCGCATAATACTGGAAGCACTTTGCGCCTTCTCGGAACAACTTGATCAATACCTCGACCTCCTCTGCTTCGAAGCCCGAGGAGAGCTCGTTCCAGTGGGGAGGCGCACTTGCGGTGTCGATCTCTTCTTTGAGCTTCGGAGGATTGCTGTTCCGCAACTGGTAAAAGAATTGCTTCAGACCTTGCAAGAGATTCTTGAAGAGGAACTTGTTCTCAGTGACGGGGTCTGTGGCTCTGTCCTTGGGATTCACGGCCTTGATAGGCATGGCATTGAAGATGTCAGTCTCATCCCAGTCAGGCTTGGCATCTTTGGTGGCAAGATAATTCTCGGGCGCGGCCTCGGGGTTGGACTGAGCGTGCTCGTGCTGCTGGCGGTAGAGCTTGACGGCATTGGGGTAAGCGCGGTTCATGGCGGCGAACTTGTCTGCAATGCCATTGAGCACGCTCATCATCAAGAAGCGAGCGTTCTTCTTGTCTTCCACTTTCGACATGCACTCTGCCATATTCAGCAAGAGCTTGGCGGACATAGTCTGATAGCTTGTCCCCGGCACTTCAACTCCATCGTCACCTGTGAGGTGGCCCACGTACACTTGCACGACACGGGCGATCTGCTTTGCATTGAGCTGCTCTCGGACATGATGGATGAGGTCGGCAAGCATTGTGTAGGCTAGAGGTCGTAATGTGATGTCTGCCGTGAGCGAATCGCCAACCAAGGTATTGGGATCGAGGAGCGGCAAAATGACGGGAAGGAAGACTGCGCGGAAATTGAAGTTGATGATGTGCCTTATCGCAACAAGAAGCTCTTTCCGTGTGGCAGTCGAGCTCCGCGGGACATCGCGAAGTAATCGTACCGTGAGCTCAGGAAGATGAGAAAGAAAGTCGGTCAAGGACGAGGAGTAGGCTCTGAGAAGATATGCCAGAAACGACATGGTCTTGACCTGAGCAGTCACCAGATCGCCGAAAGCGCCCGACTGTCCCTTGGCTTTTATCTCCTTGGCAATGCCGGTGAAGATGGTGCCGTTCGCCTTGGCCTCCTCATGAGCCCTCTTTTGAGGACCGGCCTCAAGGAGGAGGGTTTGCTTGATGCGGGGCGTGAACTTGGCGACATTCTTGCCTGATAGCGCGCGATGTGCCTGGAAGATGGAGACGACGATGATGGGACATTCGGCGACGACTTTGAAGCTGTGCATGCCCTTGACCAATTGCCTTGTCGTGCTCTGCTCCGCGCCGGGATCTGCACCTAGAGCATGGCTGGTAGAGGCAACAGGTGAGCCAGGAGTTCCTGTATTGTCGGGAGTGGCAGACAGACCGGCTGTGGCAGGAACGGGCGACTGGGTGTCGAAGGTGTCCTTGACCGTCTGCTCCATGCTATCAAAGATTTCGAGAATGAGATCGAGAAAAGGCTGTGCCTTGTCGGCGACGCCTGCTGTCTTGGTATGGTAGCGGCAGATGTCCATAACGATCTTCAGACACAGCACTGCGTTGTCCTCATTCTCCACCTTGACCAATTCCAGACACTTGTCCACGACTTTCTCGGCATGGGGCTCCATGGCTGCGCCGTCGGAAGACATGGGCAGACGATGGAGGATCTCTAGCACGCATTGTCGCACTCTCTGCTCGTAGGATGTCGAGGTGAATACCGGCGAGCCCGACAAGGTGGTCAGGAAGATGGGGATGAATTTGGACAGGAAGGTGGCATATGTCGGCGGTTGGCAGAGAGCATCGAGCTGGTCGCGGAGCTCAGTCAGGATGGGTAGCTTGGCTTTGAAGTCGAGGGAAGCATCTTGCAGCTTGTTCTCGTAGGCCTCCATCGTCCGCTCGGCCATGATTGCGGCGGATGTGTGCAGGCTCTGCGGCCTGGATTCAAGTGTGGTCACTCAGTCGGCAGAGTGTTGCAGCATGGCAGTACCGATTTTTCAGTTTGCCTCATACGAATCTTGCGCTGGTCGTCTCTTTTTGTGATATTACGGTCGAGGCGGGGTGTCGCGGTTGTCGCAGCAGGCGTGCAGTGTTCGTTATGCGTCGAATTCGTTGATCGAGAACGTGGATGGGGCTTCCGTATGCAGCACGCGAGGCAGAAGTGATGGCTCGCGCGAGTTGGTTTGTATCGATCATTCCAAGTAATGGATCTTGATGGTTAAATTGGATTCTCTCCGTGTCGGCATACGCATCCGCATGCCCATGCAACAGTGGTAGGTGGTGGCGCAGAGGTGTAGTAGTTGTTGTGGTGGATGTGCAGCGCAGCGCAGAATCTCCAAGTCGGGGCGCGAGCTCCAGCGAACATGGTCGATCACTGCGCGATTGAGCCTGTCGGCGGTCCGCGCCTTTGCCGTAGCTCCCGCTCAATCCTGGTCGATGCTTTCACGTTCTCTTGCCTCTTGGCGCGTCTGCTCTTGCCAGTGCTTCTGCCACTACTACTACTACCCCTCCTCCTCCTTCTACAGAGACATAGGCATGATGGATTATGGATTATGGACAATGGATGATGGATGATGGTTCGCTTTCTCGGCTCCATGTCGTTGGCTACGCTCCGAGCCAAGCCAAGGCTCGTGCCGCCAAATGTGCTTGCTTGTCCTGAGTGTCGTCGTGCACTCCTTCCCCGATAAATTCACCTCTTTCTACTTCTTGCGTGATGGCACACAAAAGGAGAAAGCGGGTCCACTTTTCAACACGCCGTAGCATGTGCGTGCAGCCATGACACACGCCCCGACGCCAGACAAGCTCATCGGCGCACTGCCAGACATGGAGGCCATCCGCCAGTCGCTGATCACGAAAGTGCAAGGCAAGCGTCGCCACGAGGCATCGCTGCCGCAGAAAAAGCGAGATGCTCTTCTTCAGGAGATCACCAGCGCTGCCAAGGACGGCGACCCGCTGATGCTCATCAGCCAGCCTTACCCGCCATGCCTGAAGCGAGACGACGACCTGACGCCCATCACCCTCGCAGAACTCCACCTCGAGACGCATCACTCCGGCCGAATGCTGCGGGCGAAGCGCGTTGGCCCTTCTGCATCGCGTCACGCTTCCGCGCAGTACATGGTGGAAGATGCGACGGGCATGGAGCTTCTCGTCCTGGACTTCCTCGCATTTCCAGACGACCTTTTCCTGCCACCGGACGCTCAAATCACCATCAAAGAGCCATATCTCCGAATCGGCCACGACAGCACGGCACACCTCGCTGTTGCCCATCCACGTGACATCGGTGAGTGTGGCTGGCTGCGACTCTTCACTCGTGACACGTGCTGACCACTTTCGCTGCAGAAGCCGTCTATCTCACGCAGAGCAACACGGAGTCGACCGTTCTGAAAGACCGCGGAAATCTTGACTTCAAAGCCGCTCGTTATGCATCTGCTTTTCACGCCTACACCGAGGCGCTGGCTGCACCAAACATACGCGCTACGCTCAAGGCTAACATACATCGCAATCGAGCTTTGACCAACTTCAAGCTTGGTCGATTCGACGACGCCATTCTTGACGCCCGCCACGCCCTGGAACTCGAGCCCGAATGTGATCATGTCAAGCGCGGCAAGACTCTGCTGTGCAAAGGCCTGGCCGAGTACGCTCTCGGACACCTCGGTGCAGCGGACACCCTAGAACGAGCCACGGAGGCGAATTCCACCAAAGAAGCAACGGATGCGCGTATGAGGGCTGTTGCCAGATGCAGCGAAGCAGAGACCGGACAATTCGATTTCTACGCTCTAGCCAATAAGCTGAGCGCAGAAAAGCCATACGTCGAGGCTGCGAGTTTCGTCCAGCGCATCAGTGTGAGGCAGACACCAAACCGCGGCCGTGGGCTATTTGCGCAAGAAGATATCGCTTTTGGCCATCTGGTGCTGGTCGAGAAGTCTTTCTGCAGTGTCTTCTCCAATCAGGACGCCGGCTTTGATGCCACCAGGTATGCCAGCCATATCCGCTACATCGCCGTCTATATTTGAATAACTGCTTTTACTGACTTGTTCTCGTGACTGCAGGTATGAGCCGGCTCGATTCGCTCCCTATCAAATGGAGCGTGCAGCATTCTTCAAGGCCGTTCTTCTGAAGATGTATCACAATCCTTCGCTGAGAGCTCAGGTGTCAGATCTTCACGCCGATTCGCCTAAGCCGCCATCGCCCGATACTTTGGACTACTTCCATATTGAGCGACTGACAGCTCTCAACTCCCTCGGCTGCCGCGTGCCAAAGCAAGTCAATGCACACATTGCAAAGCCATACCCCTTCGGTCGCTCGTATGCCGGAGATGCGGTTGGCAGTAGTGGCCTATGGATCAAGACCTCATACATCAACCACTCCTGCATTCCGAACGCCGAGCCAAGTGTCATTGGCGATCTCATGGTCGTCAAAGCTACTCGAAACATCACCCAGGGCGAGGAGATCACGATTTCGTACTTCAACGACATTGACTACCAAACGAGGAGCAGGAAAATCAAGTCCTCTTGGGGCTTCGATTGCACCTGTGAGCTCTGCACTGCGGAGGCTGCTACTTCTCCCGCGGACATGGAAGAGCGCATACAGCTCCGCGATCTAATCACTGAGCAACAGATGAGCGACTCCTCTCTCGCTGGCTCACTCGAAGCTGCTGACAGCGACGTCGACGATGTGGAGGCAACCTACGACGAGCAGTTGTATGCTGATCTGCCACGCGAGGATCTGGTAAGTTTACATGGCGAAGCTTGTTGCAGCAGACAGAACCTGTATCGCCAATATTTCTCTCTCCAACTGCTAACGCTCCGTGGCAGGCACATGCAAACGTGCGCCTCTATCTAATGCACCTACGGCAACGTAACGTTGCTAATGCGGCTCGCGCCCTAAAAATGGCGCTCGAAGCGCAAAACATCAAGCTCGTGATTCGCAATCAAGAGGTAAGCAGTTGCAGCAGATGAAAATCTCCGTGGGCGGCAAGACAGAATCATTGATGCTCGAGACGACGCCCACCGAACCAATACATGCTAACGCTTTCACGACATCTAGGTCCGACTGCTCGACAGCAGACGCCAAATTAACAGCCTCACAGTAGAGTGCCTCCTCGGGCTTGCCAATTTCTACGAAAGGGCGCTCAACGAGCCTGCAAATGCGTCACAGCTTCGGGAGCTAGCAAAGACCTTTTACTTTGTGCTCAACGCCACTACCCATGGTTTCAACAGAATCATTCCTTCATGATTCGCATCCTCAAAGAAGGAAAGGAGCAAGCTCAATTATAAGCGGTTGGTAGCTGTAGTACAACTGCTATTAGCTAGCTACTACTACTACTGACAACAATCTCTTTTTGAGCCGCTTCCTTCTTGAGAACTTCCCAAATCAGTTACTTCCTCCGCCAAGGCCTACAAAGTCATCGCAGCAGACGTAACACTCGACTTCGTCGCTGTCGCCTGCCATGCTTCCCTGCAAAGCTCACGATAAAGAAACCAACAAGATCCTCGAGACCTTCACAGCCATCCGGGATCGTCATCGTTGCCAAGTCGATTAGAAGAAAAGATAGATGACCAAGGTCGCAAGGGTCTTGGTAAACTGTCGCGAAGCTGAACTTCGACGTCGTAGTCGTAAGAGGATCTTCCTAAACCCTTAGGTAAGACCACCCTTCCCCATCTCCCCACCTTCCTGCCTCACAAGTTCATCGAAGAAGTCTTCGTCCTCAAAGTCGTCGGTTCCGGTTCCATCGTAGGAGTCGCAACAACCAAAACCTGTTGTTGCCCTTTCACATCCCTCTTCTTCTTCTCCTCCGGAAGTCCGAATCTCGAATCATCGCGCGTGGTAGCCGTTTGTACGGTTGATGAGCTCGGTTTTCGCAAGTAGGATTCGTAGGATGTCCAGGGATAGTCTGTGGGCGGAGGATTCCAGGCGTGGGTGAAGGGTTGGCAGGTGTAGGGATGGCAGCCTTCGGGGTGTTGGGATTGGGTTTGGGTTTGGGTTTGGGCGAGGGTTAGGGTGGCGGCTGATAAGAGGGTGGTTTGGAGGAGAGTGGAGGACTTCATTGTGATGGTGATGTGATGGGAGAGGTTTGGAGGAGGAGAGGAGAAGTGAGGGTTATGGACTCTTATCTTTGTGAGGTGAGAGGGAGGAATTGGGTTGGGTTGCCAGCTGTTATTTTTTTTTTCACAAATGTGGTGCGGAGTTGGAGATGTATTGGTATGCTTATGAAGTTTCCTTATTCTGGAGAGGTTTCGTTGAGGATGAGGTCGGAGTGTCGAAGGGCGTATTGGTTGCCGACAATGGGTCGGCTTGCCGACGGACGGGCCGAGTCTTTGGCCATGGTAGCCTTCTGTTCAAGGCGAGGATTCAACAGAATTGTATCGGCAGAACCACCGATCTCTTATCAACAAAGGCTTTCACGGCAGCAATTGTGATGCCCTCCTCACGATTAGATTGTTTATTTATTCATTTCGTGGTCGGCGTCGGCGTCGGCGGGACTTTCTGCCGAACTTCTTTATAATACTCACGCCGTCTTGGGCTTACGACTGCAACCTTCCAGCACCATTTACAAATTCTCGGCGAACAGACGAGATGCAAAGTGAAGTGATCTGGATGCAGCAATGTGGTCAAGTAAGTTTCGCAAAGAGTCGAGTCATGCTGGCAGGAATCAACGAACATGGCCGCCGTACACTTAGAGCTTTGGGTAAGAGTTTTGAATCTGCATATGTACTGTAGCGACTGCAGTTCTCACAAGTGTCAATCCATGCCTCTGCGTTTTTGGTACAGTTCCATCCTAATACATCCATACATGCATACATCGTCGAGTCATGTGCTTCGTTTCTAGCTCTATTAATCATCATCATCATCCTCCTCCTCCTCATCTGTCCCTTTCCACTCTTCCCTCACGTCTCAAGATTCTGCAAATTTGCTTCGCTTCCTGAGATTCGCCCCAAAGAAATACAGGACGTATATGCCGATTGAGCACGCGACCATACAGAAACCCAGCAGACTGACGCCCCAGTCCACACCCAAATTGTCGAACATTGGGATGGCGAAGATAACCGCGCCGGCGGCCAGTAAAGATCTAGAGAGACCGTTCGCTGCGAAAAGCGAGCCTATGTAACGTGGGTAGCAGAAGGGCAAGTAGATAAACACGCATTGCGCGATGATGAAGTTGCCCATCATCGATATCGAGACTCCGATCATAGGCGCGATCCAGTGGATCGATGCACGAGATGTCCATGCTAGGAGAAATAGGTATCAGTTCACCGTTCCTGATAAAACAAAAATCGGCACTGCGACTGCGCATGACTTATGTATACTCACCGAAGACAAACAATCCAGCAGGAATCGTCCAAGTGAAGATTAATCCTGGAACCAGACGTGCTTCAGGCGGGACGTTTTCCAATTGCATTTTGGCCATCTGCTGATCGGCGTAGAAGTAGAAGTAGCTACACCACACGATGATGGCCAGGAAACTTCCTACGGCCATGCACAGGAAGGCTGCGCCCATGATGCCGAAGCTGAAATGGTAGATCTCGCCGAAGACGATCGGAAAGGATTCGAAAAAGGAATAGTAGATCCCGTAGACGAGGCTGCGAGGTGTCAGCTTGCACTCTATGAATGCAGCGAGGTCAAGATCAGGCTTACGCGAGATATATGGTCGTATACAGAACGGCTGGGTCTTTCATATTGATTTCCCACGGCTTGACCAGAGCTGCGAACAGGACTTCTTTGGTGCGCTTCGTCTTGGCTTTAATTTCCGACTCGGCCATGAGATCATTGCGACCGGTCAGCTTGCGCAGGCGTTGTGCTCGACGGAGAAGAATTTGGTCGTGGGATGTTTCCGGAAGGAAGAAGAACATTGCCAACCAGGTCGGTCCTGCAATCAGCAAATTCTCGTAGAATGGCCAGCGCCAATTCGCTTCTGCTGCGAAGTTGCTGAGTAGAGGACCGAGTGACTGCGATTTCATCTGTCAGCTGGAGCGTCCGCCATGATTGATGTACATGGATCTTGTGTGGTCTGTACTCACAGGACCTGCAGATGCACCACCCGCCCAAATCGCGATCGCGTAAGGCATCTGCATCGCAGTGCAGAAATCTCCATAACTCGCTGCCCCAGTCGTCAATGCAGGCGAGCCAGCAACACCAAGGAAGAATCTTAGCACTAACATTCCCGCGAAGTTGTCGACAAATGCGATTGGGATGGCAAGCATGCAGAAAAGGAAGAAACCGATCACATATGGCGGGTTTCGTCCAATCCAAGGAATTTCGGAAAGAGGTGACATGATGAGTGGACCGGTGCCGTATCCAAGGATATAGATCGACAGACCGACACTGGACGCCACACGGCCGAGATTCCATCTCTCCATCATCTCAGGAATCGCTGCGGTGTATAGGGATGCTGCGATGTAGATGGCTAGCGTGTATTGCAAGATGATCCAGCCGACCCATAGCTTCTTGCGGATAGGCCAGTTGTGGGGATTTTCTGAATCCGTGTCTTCAAAGACAATGGGTGTTAGCAGATCAGGAATGCTGGCCATCAGAAGCTATATTACCTGAATACCATGTCACCACGATCGTGACTCCAGACTCGGTTCGTCGCGGAGAGACTTGCTCGCGCCTTCCACTCTCGAAAGCTTGATCTCCATCCCCAGCGAGCGATGCTTTCTCGAGGTCATCGTCGTCTTCAGGCGGCTTGTCGTCGCTGATAGCTTCGCTGGGAACTCCCGATATGACCTCTGATCGTCGCTTATTACGCTCTGCGGGATGGAGATATTCCGCGGGAATCTGAAAGCCGGGCTCTTCTTCTGGATACTTGAAATATTTGTTGCCAGATGCGGATCGAACGAGTTGTCCAAAGAACGAGTCACGAAAGACCTGCTTCATTATTGTGAGCATGGACCAGAAGGTGATGAATGGACTTGACTCGAGCAAGGAAAGGCTTCTTAGCAAAAGGCAGACCGATGCTTCGTAGGAACAGTGGCTTGAAGGAAGGAAACTTTCGAACATTCTCGGAGACGGATCGTGTGCAGGGGAGTCTTTCCGTTGCTGTATAGTAAGCTTTGGATTACTGTATGATAAAAGGACGGTGACCTCCCGGGCGGACCTTGGTTTCGAGCACATAGTTACTGACTTCCTGAGCAATAGTGTCCGAGACCCTTGTAGGGTTGCAGTTTCGGATGTGAGTCTCGCGCTGACCTGCACATCCAGCCGTCCTCAACCAAGACGATCTTTGACGGATTGGTCCGGGATGCAGATCCTGGCCAGTTGACACACGAAAGCGACGTGACTGCAGGGCAGAATTGCACGGTCAATCGGTCAACGTGATAAGCAGGTGGCTTTTCAAGTGTGTGTTACCGATATCTGGTGTTCTGCAACTTGATCGGCTTTGAATGTGATGTATCCGGAGTATACAGGAAGCACAAGACGCACACATCTCACAAGTCTTGGCGGCGTCAGCACCCAATGTAGGCATTGCGCAGTGCAGCACATGCAAGGATCTGCACTTGGAGGATTAGTCAAACTGCCACTATCCCTCCCACCCGCACCCGCGTCATCACCGCCTTTGGGTCTCTGTCTCGTTCGGAGTCGTTCCAACGAGCAAGGTTGGCGGTCAAGATGCACCGCGTGCATGCGTAGGAAAGTCTACGGCGTTCAAGCCCTGGTACATGGTGAGGAGAACTGCATGATTGTGGCGATACCAGATATTGAATCCGAGAGACAAGTTCAGAAGTAGAATGTTGTAATAGCTCGTACCATAGGTCCTTGTGGAACAAGAGAAATGCCGCTGCTAAGTCTTCACGAGTCCTTGAGAATCAGATGTACCGCGTGGACGGAGGACTTATGTGGCATAGGCGCCAATATCCGTTGGTACTTACTGTATGTTTTCCACGAGATCGTAAGGCTCTGCAGCCGCGCATCGGCGTGCGTGCCTGATACTCGTGCTTCTTGGACGACGAATGCGAATGCGGCTGTCGATGGAAATCTTGGTAATTATGCAGCGCTATCACATATGATAAATCTAAAGCTTAGCCTGAATCTCGCTCGCTGGCTTGCCTCTAATCTCAGGTTCGGGCTGCTTGTCGACTATTAAGCTTGATGCTTTCTGCAAGCTCTCGATGGCCTCCCTTTCAATGCGAGACACAAGTTCTTGACACGTGGGAATGTCGTGAATAAGGCCAATGACTTGACCGGCAGTCCAGACCTAGTTCGAAAGTCAGTATCTCAAGCGTTCTCTCAGGACTCTTTTGTTGCGACTTACTCCATAGTCGGGGTCGCCGTTCAGGAAGACCTGCCGTCCTCGTTGTCCACTGACATAAGGTCCGACTGCTTGGAACTCCTTGGTCTCAGGCCTGTTCTCAATAGCATATGCTTCACTTGCGACCTTGTTCTTGAACAATCTCGAGGTGTTTCTCCACTTTCTAAGGACAAGCTGTGTGTCTGTCTCTGTCGCCTTTACGATTGCCTCTTTAATGTTGTGGTGGATTGGAGCTTCCACTGTGCACATGAATCGCGTGCCCATATTGATACCCGCCGCTCCCAGATTAAGTGCTGCCGCAAGACCTTGTCCATCGCAGAAGCCTCCAGATGCGATGAATGGAATTGGCATGACTTGCCTCGATCTGCTTAGGAGGATCAAGTTTGTGATATCTGTCTCTCCTATGTGTCCGGCGCACTCGAAGCCGTCGATTGAGAGGAAGTCCACACCCAGCTTGACCGCACTTAGGGCATGTCTTATGCTTGTACATTTGTGCAGAATGACACATGGCGGATCTGCCTCTTTCACTGCTTGATTATCGGGCCCGGGCTATTGCCTGCTGTTTCTACGATTCGAATGCCCTCGTCGAGGATGGCCTGGGCGTATCCGGGATAATCTGGTGGGTTCATGGATGGGAGGAGAGTCAAGTTGACACCGAAAGGATTCTTGGTCATCGATTTGCACTTGCGGATCTCTTTGCGAAGATCGTCGGGCGAGGGTTGGGTGAGGGCAGTGATGATTCCAAGGCCGCCCGCGTTCGAGACGGCGGAGGCCATCTCAGCGTAGCCGACCCATTGCATGCCACCCTGAACTACCGGTACTGTGATAGCACGTCAGATGTGTTCAGATCAGCGAGATCATGTATCTACATACCCTTGATACCGAGTTTCCTCGTAAGTGCTGTATCGAAAGGCATGGCCGCTGCTGTGTGTATGTTCTATCCCCGTACCGTAGCTGATAGCCGCAAAGAACAATGGGAGTGACGACGGAAGACCAGATAGAAGAAAGGAGGTCGTGTCTACTAACGAGAGTCAGGAACCGGCTATGTATTCACTTACATTTGTCTTCATCACCCTCGCCCTCGCGATCTCCACGCTTCTGCTATACTAAGCCGAGGTCATCAGCTGCCCTGCTTGTCCGGAGGAAGATTATTCGCTGCGGACTTCACTCCGTCCGGCCATGTGACGGCAATCACGGTAATTTCTGTTTTCACTTCGGCCGGCTTTCACATGCCTGACAACTTCGGATCGGCCTCGCTCGGCCATCGAAGCGCCTTCTCTTCATCCAATCTATCTGGTCGTTAATCAAAATGGTATCGACTTCCATCGGACTGAAAGCCTGCCCGGAAGCTGCATTATGTCTGGGGTCGCTGATGGAGCATAATTCGGTCTGGAAACAAGACTTCTGAGTCCTGACATGGGAAGTACGACTCGAGCCGATGCAGCCGTAGCGGGCACCGAGTCTTCGCCGGGAGAACAACAACAACAACAACAACAACAACAACAGCAATAACAACATGATGACTCTGCAAGTCTGCATCGAGTTTCAGGAACTTTGTCTGGTCTGCCATGTCTTCTGCGCTGTCATGCTGAACACATATCCAGAGCCGGGCTTTTTCAGCTGACGATCAGCAATAGATTGTATGTCTGGTTGAAGGACTTGGGGCGTCTGGTTCACGCGCATTATCGAGCATGCACGAATGACGAGACTGAGCTAGCGATCCAAGAAGTCAGAGACCCCGAGCCCCCTTCGAATGCGTCCTTCGTAAGCTAGTTAATCGCTCCGAGCGTCCCACGGTCAGGCACAATCAAGCAAGATATTATTGTAGGTATGAGCGTATAAATTTCATTCAAGTACGAGTACAAGAGAACGCAGGCCATCGAATACCGCCTACACGTTCTTGAAGTTGGATCTGGCGCAACCCCTATTCACTGGAAGTACGAAGCATGGAAATTAGAAGCCAAATGGACTTCCATCTACAGCAGAAACATATGTATTTAGCCCCGTGGAAACGGTGCAAGCCTATAGACTCCGTTACCTCTCCATCTACGTTTCCCTGAACTAGAGGCTGAAATGAAGCAGAGCATAACCAGCAGCATCAAACGAGGTATCTCAGCGCCGCTGTCTCGACCCGAATATGTACGATCATAACCTTGAACACTCGTCGACCGCCAATTTTACCCAGAAAAATACGCCTCCTCGGCTCGGTCGCTGAGTCTGGATGTTTCTGCCATGTCTGACTTTGCCATCGACAGCCATGCAATATTCCCGGTGCTGTCCAGCCTGGACTGTATGTGCAGGTCGATGTCGGTATCGTTAATATCTGGATTCTGGAGGCATATTGAACGATGCTGAGATCTGCCGAACGAGAGCCGAAATCGGCCCGAATTTCGGGAGTGGCCGAAACCGAGTCCGAGTCAAGGAAACGGAATAGACAATGCAGCCTCTATCATCCTACACCTGAATGTCACAACCACCTATAAATCGTCGCGGTGAAACGAGAATGACATCAGCAATGCGAGGCGCAGTATATGCTACGGTAACAGCCATTCGATCTAGGTGGTGGCGTGGTGCCAAAGTTCTCCTCGCGCCGTGATATGCCGGCACATACTGTACAAGCATGCTGGTCAACTACCGGTATGTGTGGCGCCTGAAATAATGACCAGTCCAAGCATTCATTCCCCCCACACCGACATACACTTGGGGACAGGCCCACGGTCGTGAGCATCACTTCAGCATCATTCTTGCGGCCATGTTGCCTTGGACAGCGCTCGCCTCGGTGGCAGCTGCCTCTCTGGCAGGTAAGGAGCCTCAGAGCTCGATTCAAACAGCCTCAGCATGCTGACTTATGTGCAGCACTCGCACTTGGCCTTGATGTTGGTATGATATCAAGCACGTAGGCATCATTTGAGAAGAATGAGGTAGAGCTCCTGCTGAGAATCTTAGCCTCGTTCAGCCATCGTTCCTCTCGTACTTCGACAAACCCTCGCCATCAGCCATAGGAGGCATTGTCTCAGCATTCGCAGCCGGCGCCTGTTTTGGCGCTCTCTCCTCGGCTCTGATCACTGATCGACATGGACGCCTCTGGGGTCTACGCATTGGCTCTCTTATTGCCGTCATTGGAGCCGCCTTCCAAGCTGGAGCGGTACATGTTAGCGAGATTCATGCACTGATCAGTATCAAATACAGCCTTGATAACCGTTGACGTAGGTTGCCATGCTCATTATCGGGCGGCTGGTGAATGGTTTCGGCGCGGGAATCCTCACCGCGACTTTCCCTGTCTACGCCTCCGAAGTTGCTCCCCCGAACATTCGTGGTGCTTTGGGTGGTTTCCAAATGGTGAGCTGTTCATAGGGTTTCTGAAATGGTGCTAATGCTGTCGACCGAAGCTCATGATCAGTGCTGCGATTTTCATCGCCATAGCGACAGGCTATGGATTTGGAACGTCGTTCACAAACGACGCTCAATGGTATGGAATCGGTGCTAGACGACGGGAGTCCAGCTGACAGTGCGCATATAGGCGAGGACCACTTGCGATTCAGGCTGCGCCTCTGCTGTTGCTCGTACCTGCTTCATTTTTCATACCAGAGACTCCTCGATACCTCATCTCCAAGGACAAGGAAGATGAAGCGTATCGCACCTTAAGGCGATTACATCGCGGGTGCACCGAAGCCTTCATCGAAGGCGAGATTACGGAAATGGTCGATCAGATTCAAGCCGAACGAGCCATATTCACACCAACCTGGATAGAGATCTTCCAACGCCCTTCTTGGCGTCGTCGTATCCTGCTTATAGCCGGACTACAGATCATGGCTCAGCTTACAGGGATAAATTGTATCCAGTACTACGCATCAAGCATCTACGAGCGACTAGGCTTCAGTACATTTGACGCCCTCAAGCTAAATCTCATCTACGGAGCCTTTGGACTCATTTTCAACATATTCTGGGTGCTCACTGTTGATCGGCTTCCTCGCATTCGCCTCATCATCGCATCTTTGGCCCTGATGTGTGCAGCTTTGTTGACTCAAGCGGTCCTCTCCGGTGTTTACGAGAAGCGGAGCTATGTCCCAGCGAATGCTCTCCGAGCTCAAGTGGCCATGTTCTTCGTGTTCAATCTCGGGTTCATGGCAATGGGAATGCTTACATGGCTGATACCTCCTGAGATGTGTCCAATGGTCATGAGGTGAGCCGGCATCCTCAGTAGTTTCTGACAGGTCTAACTTCCTTCTCCTAGAGCCAAAGCCAATGCGGTGTCTGTCGCAGTGAACTATGTCGCAGGCCTCGTCGTGGCACAAGTTGCGCCAATCGGTCTCGCCCACATCGGCTTCAAATTCTTCTTCCTCTTCGTGGCCTGCGACGTGGTGTCAATCCCAATTCTGTATTTCTTCTACCCAGAGTAAGCGTCCCGTGCAATACATGGTCAAGAAGACAGTTTCTAATCGTTCGATCACAGAACCTCGAAGCTTTCTTTGGAGGAGATGAATGTCAAGTTCGCAGATGAGATTGTTGACCACCTGGAGAAGATCGCACCGGAATATCATTCGCAACGCGCCCCCGATGCGCCAACGAAGAGTGATGCTAAGAAGGTCGAGATTACATTGGTTGAAGAGAGGTGAAATCCTGAATGGCCACTCTAGCTCCGGTTGATTGGGTATAATAATATGGTTCCAAGTTTGGATTGAAGGTACCCACTGATGAAGCCAAATCTCAATCGGGTAATATCTGAATAAGGTTGGCTCTCTGTTCTGTCGTCGAACTGCCGTGGTCACAACTCCGCACACATCCCAGCAATATGGAACATATCAAACCCCGACATTTACCGGAGCCCTATGGAACAAAATCTACTTGTGTGTACGGTATACGTGTGAGTACTACTCAGGTCGATCCGTACGCTTCCCATCCCTTCATCCAACCAGCGCCAAGATGTCTTCATCTCAACCTTGGCATTCCTCCCGGGTCCATCCACCTGGATCACTGATCATAATCACAGGCGCAGGTGACTAGATGCAGAGAAATGTGCCGTGAACCAGCTTTGTCAAGAATTCAATCAGGCTCCGGAATCGGCATGGCCGCAGCCCAACAAGGCTATAAAGTCGCAGCCTGGGACATGGACGACTTAGGAATCTCCCGCACCAAAGAGCTCACGGGTCCAGGCCTTCCATCTCTTCCCAAATCTTTCCCGTCCCCCAACGATGTCTCTGAAGCCTTAGAAGTATCCCAAATCATCACCCGAGGTGGGAAAAACGTTCACTCGTACTTGTGAACAATGCAGGTCCAATCGCCATTGGCAAGTTCAGATGAGGCCCTTTCATGGAGATGACGATGGAGAACCGCTATGGATATGATTCGTTACCCTACCGAAGCTTTTCTTAGAACGAGTCCTGAACGAGGTGCGAGGATTGTTGATATTAGTTCGATTGTGGGAGCGCGGTTGGGAGGTGGTGGGTCTTGGTATTCTACTGCGAAAGCTGGTATTGTTGGGTATTGCAAGAATATGGCTCGTGTAGACGGAGGACTTTCAATATCAGAGCAGTACTCATTTCCACAATTGAGCTTGGTCTGTGTTTTGCCATGATGGGCCGTCATAATGCTCGTATGGTGGAGGACAACCTGGGATGGAGTCTTGGATGCTTTCTGGGGTGTATGGGTTGTGGTAGGTTGTTGGCTCGATGTCGGGGGAGCTTGGTAGAGGTGTGTAAGTCTGGTTTTCTCTCTTGAACTCGTAGAATGTAACGGACGTACTTTGGTAATGGACCCTTGAATAGCCACGATTGATCTTCGACCCAGCCTTTGTGATGATTGCACTGTCATCAATCGTTAGTGGATATGCTCATGAGAGAATCTCTAGCCGTACCTTGATAGTTCGGTACCAATGAAAATGCCATATCTTCCAATCATCCCCCTTCTTGATAAAGTCGATCGCATAAGCACCAAAGAGCCAAATTGGTTCTGGCCCTGCGTCCGACATGACTGCTTGTACGCTTGGAGATCGCCATGTTCCTTTGGCAGTTTTACCATCACCAGCAACTTCGATCATCCCAGTCGTGAGGAACGGGAAGAGGAGATTGCCTTTTAGAGTCGCAGATCCGAACTGGTCTTGAAATAGTGTGGTTATGGCAACTTTTCCGCGGTAGACACCACGATCTCCGACTTCTACGGACACATCTGGTTCGTCGAGTGCGAAGAAACTTAATGTATTGTGCATGTTCTTGGCTACGTGGTTGATTGGCAGCGCAGCTGCCAATCTAGACACCGCGGCCACCGCCCGCGAAAATCCAAGTTGTCCGCCAAGACCGAAATGATTGGCTAAGAAATTTCGCAGAAGTAATATGCAATCAAAGATTGAAGGGAAATTTGACTTACCCCGGATTTTAGCGTAGAACGTCAATCGAAACAAATATTAAAGGGAAATTTAACTTACCCCGGATTTTAGCATAGAACGTAAATCGAAAGCGCTTAACGAATCCCGGATATAAGCGTAATACGCTAATAAAAATTTAGTAGGAGCTTAACGTATACTAAAGACCTAGATATAGCTATATCCTACTAAATATAAAGCCTATCGACTAGTATAAAGGTCCCCGTAGCGAAAATATTAGTAAGATTACTAATAGTACTATTAATTTTAATAAAGCTATTAGTAGAGCTACTAGTAACTTTAGACTATTAGACTATTAGTAGGACTAGGTATTAAGAAAACTATTAACAAACCTATTAATTAAACTATTAGGTAAACTATTAGATAGACTATTAGATAAACTCTTAGCTAAACTATTAGTAAACCTAATAATAGAACTAATAATAAAACTAATAATAAAACTAATAACTCAAATAGTACTAATAGTAAAACTATTAGTAAAACTAATAACTCAAATAGTACTAATAGTAAAACTATTAGTAAAACTACTAATAGGACTATTAATAAAACTACTAATAAAACTGTTAACAGAACTACTAATAAAACTACTAGTAAAACTACCAAGACTACGAGCTAGCCTACGAATAGGACTACTAATTAAAGTACTAAGACCACTAACTAAACTAGAAACAAAACTATTAACAAAACTACTAATAAAACTATTAATAAAACTACTAATAAAACTATTAAAGAAACTACTAATAAAATACTAATTAAAATTTTCGTTAAACTGAAACTAGTAATCGAACTACTAATTAAACTATTAATTAAATAGTTAATTAAGCTATTTATATAATTACTAATAAAACGACTAATTAAACTACTAGTTAAGCTACTAGTTAAACTACTTCTTAAACTACTAACGAAATTTTAAATTAAACCGTTACTAGTAATTAAAATACTAATCGAACTGCTAGCTAAACTACTAATTAAACTGCTAATCGATCTACTAATCGACCTACTAATCGACCTACTAATCGACCTATCTCTATTTAGAAGTTAGTAATTTAGTACTATATACTTTAAATTATATAATTTATCGGGGGACTAGCTACTAGTAAAATACTAATTAAAATTTCTATTAAACTAAAACTACTAATTAAACTACTAATTAAACTATTGATTAAACTACTAATTAAACTACTAATTAAACGGTTAGTTAAACTATTAATTAGACTATTAATTAAACTACTAATTAAACTATTAATCAAGCTATTAATTAAACTATTAATCAAACTATTAATCAAACTATTAATTAAACTATTAATTAAACTATTAATTAAACTACTAATTAAACTATTAATCAAGCTATTAATTAAACTATTAATCAAACTATTAATCAAACTATTAATCAAACTATTAATCAAACTATTTATTAAACTATTAATCAAACTATTAATTAAACTATTCATTAAACTATTAATTAAACTATTAATTAAACTATTAATCGAACTATTAGTCGAACCGTTAATCGACCTCTACTAATCGAACTATCTCTATTTCGAAGTTAGTAATTTTAATTAGTATTCTATACTTTAAACTATATAATTTATCGGAGGACGAGTAATAGAAATAACTAGTATAATAGCTAAATCTATAATAGCTAGATAGTATAGCTTAAAGCTATTAATCTCTAAGAATTATACTACTAGACTTACTAGCTAGAGGATAGCTACTAGTAATTAGGGGTTATATATAATATATCTAGGCCTCTACTAAGGTAGTATATCTATTCTTTTAGTATATATTCTATATATAGCCTAAATAATTAAGTTTTATTTATATATTTTAAGCTAAGTTTAATAACTTTTACTACTAGTAAATTTACTACTAAAGTTAGAAGTCTAAATCGCTATTTTAGTATATAGCTAAAGTTCTATTCTCTCTTACTATAGTGACTAGCTAAGTAGTACTTAGTATTTGCTATAGATATATTTAATTTTCTAACTAAATATTTAAAGCCTACTAATTAAGAGTCTAAGGGAATTAATAGCGCGCGTCTAGACTAGTAGCGAACTACTACTTAGATACTAGTACTTATATTAAGCCCTACTAAACTATATACTATAGCTAGAACAAACTACTATATAACTTAGAAAAGCATAACTATAATTTAGAATTGTAAGATTAGTAAATTTTCCTTTATAAACTAGGGTATAGATATATATAGAAACTAAAATTATAATATTCTCTAAAACTAGTATCGTATTCCTAGAACCTTATAAATAGCTATATTATATATAATATAAAGATACCTAGGCCTATAGTTATAGAGTCTAAGAGCCTTTAGCTATTGAAGTTTACTAGCCTCGGTAGTTGAGATATATATACGATTAGTAATCAAAACAAATACATTGCAAGCTGCCAGTCTTGGAACGCGATAGTGGTCCACAACACTTCCTAGTTGTGTGTCTGTTGCGCTATTGAGATGTGCTAAGTTGACGGGGCGATCGATTCAAGCTGACCTTCCCATGAGCATATTGATCTCGTCTTTTGCTTTGAGGCGAGTGACTTCTGCTTTGAGCTGTGCTAGCTCTTCGAGTATGTTTGAGTTCATGTCGGAGATCTGTAGGTGGTTTTGAGCTGTCTGCCGTCCACAGACTTATTAATTGGACGATACCGGAGTCAGAATGCTACCATCGTTGACCGTCATGACGTGAATCAGCAATCAATATTGCGCTTCGGGCGTCGCCAGAGGCCCTGGCTACGGGTACTGATGGGTACGCGTCGACCAGTCAGCTTCCAGCTGTTCCTGGTTCCCAACAGTGACGGACAGGGATTCGGAAGTCCATATACCCGTCATACACTGGCCAGAGCATTTCGTGGGCAGAAACCCAGTTCGTCGATGCTCGAAACGTCTTCTCTTTGCACTACCCATGGAGTGTCCCGTCCCTCGCTATGTTGACCTGCCAGAGCTGGTACCAGGCTTCCGATTCTCGTGGTCATATTTCAACTCGCTTCCAAGCAAGAATCGCGAGGCGGATCAGATCGGCACAGTAATTGGCATCTACAAAGTCATTGATCTGATCGATACTAAGAGAGCGGCATGGTGTAGCTGAACTTCCTCACTCCAGCTAGAAAGGTCGCAGCAGCGGCAGAAATCAAAGATGGCGTTTCCATCTCATTGGAGTTAGTGTCCATGTACGTGTAGTATCATCGATGGACCTCCCTGATAACATTCCAGCTTGCCCATCAACCACTTCGCCGCAGTTTCCCGCGCCTTTGGAGGACGGATGCCACCTTATCATGAACTTCATCAGATTGACTCGTCAGTCTATGAGGATTCCGTCAACCTCAACACTCAGGTCTCCAGGTACGTAAAGTATTGAGCCACCTCTGCTGCTAGCAATACTTGCCAATACGCCATTGGTCGTGGTGTAGTCAATGGGATGGCTTTCGTCACTTCGGACTCAGGGTCACACATCAATTCTACAACGGCTTCGGGAGCGCCCATATCGAAGATTCGACGGTCCTGGGCACGAACGGTATGTCTTTGGAGCGATTTCAACTGAATTCGGCCTGAAAGAGAACTAGCCTGGATCCAAACCGGAGCAATCGTGGGCCGCGGTGTACTTGTCGACGTTCATGCATATTTCCTGTCTCTGGGCTGGAGGGTCGACCCAAATGGTGGCTCTCCCATAACGTTGGATCATGTGCTCGACACGCTACGGGCCCAAGGGACAATGATAATGCCTGGAGATATCCTGATATTTCGAACTGGTTGGCTGGAATGGTATAACGAAAGCTCCGAGCAGGAACGATATACAGAACTTTGCCAAAGACATTCGCCTGGAGAGCATCAGTTCATTGGGCTGGCTCAGGCAGAAGACTTCATTGCATGGTTGTGGGATAACCAGATTGCGGCCGTGGCTGGGGATCAGGTCGCATTCGAGTGCACGCCTCCTCCAGAATCAGGGATTGGAATGCTACATGAGCATTTGCTGGCCGCTTTGGGGTGCCCTATCGGGGAGCTTTTTGACGTGGAAACTCTGGCCAAAGAGTGCGAGAAGCGGAAGAGGTACTCATTCTTCTTCACTTCAGCGCCACTTCATGTATCTGGAGGTGTGGCGAGCCCTTGCAATAGTATAGCCATCTTGTGAGCTCATATTGAGATCAGATCCGGCTGGAGAATCCTATCCAGATTCTCGGGAGTTGACAACATACAGGGCAGGGCTTACGTTTGAAATGGACTTTACAAATGAAATCTCAGCGTGACCGGCAAACTGAATGAGGGATCTTTGACGTGATGTAGAGGGCGAGGATTGCGGCGAGAGAGCTGCTAAACAGAGCAGCCTTTGCTAACATACGATACCAGCGAGCCATGCCAGTGATTACGATGGAGACCGATTCCGCCCGGAGGTTTCAAGAAACGCTCGTAGCCTGCGTCAAGTCTTTTCCAAGGACGATCATCTCCAGCCCGTCCGCGAAAATTTCACGTCCTCTATCGCCATAGCGGAAGTCTCGTTTTGCCCCAGTCTCTTGATATCCACAGCGGCCATACTAGATGTCAATAGTCGGAAGGTCAGCGGATTTCTCCGACATTGGGTGCTCTCATGGGATTGCTTCCTCACCCACGCGCGAAGCTCGGTGCGTGCATTTACATAGTCCATCTCCAGGCGTTTGACGTTCCAATTTTGCTGCACAAATTCTTCTGCCTCAGCAAGCATGGCCCGGCCATAGCCTCGATGGTGGTACTTTGGTTGTACAGCAAGCAGACCGAACCAAGCAGCGCCGGTCGTCATGTGGGCTTGCGCAGGATCAGAAGGCCTTTGCAAGAAGCAACATGCGACTGGCCGGAGTTCGCTTGGAATGTTGCCTGTGAGCATGACTGTATCTGGGCCGGCTATCATATTGGCGGTGTCGTTCGCCGATACGATATCGACTCTTCGGGACTGGTCGTTGAAAATCCATGTCTGCCCAGTCTTTTCATTTCGGAAGCCAGCGTTGATGATAGAAGCCAGGTGGCTTGCATCTGCTGGAACAGCGGTCCGGAAGGTGAGCTTAGGAGGCCCAAGATTTCCAGACATATTGTGTTGATCGGATCGGATATGTCACATCTGTGCCTCCGTATGGCCAGTGGCTTTATAGAATCAGCTCGCCCTCGCCCTCGCCCTCGCCCTCGCCCTCGCCCTCGCCCTACGCCCTAATGTCTACGACAATGCCACGCAGGCGGTCCCGAATTTCACCGAAAGGATCAAGCGGGCCCGATGCAGCTGTAGAAGCTGATATGTCGCTGGCGTGCCGAGTGGGAGACGGTGAAGTATCGCGTTAAGACCTTCTTCGTTTTTCACTGCGTGAGATGCTGAGTTGAGATGATGATGAGGAAAGGAAAGGAAAGGAGTATGCTTATATACTACCTCCGTTCAGGCCTTTGTGCATTAAGGATTACGTTCCGCGGTGGTGAATTGGTTCGAATTGCACGTGATAGCATAATTTAGGGTTCATTTGCCGACTTCCGAGCAACCAATCACACACCGCTCCACCTAATCCTTCGCTAGAATAGGAGGAACGACGCTAAACCTAATGAGTTATAGTCCTTCACGTGCTTCCTCTCACATGATACACGAGTATTCTACGAAGCGCCTGAATGGGAGGTAGCTTATATAATAGCTGCGTAATCGGAATCAGGTCCGAGGCATGCATCCTCTTCGTCAGTCACATGTCGATGATACGGAAAGACAAGAGACAGGTCTCCTGCGTGATCTGACAGATTGCGAAGTTGATCAGGACTACTGGCGCCACAACTGAGCCTGTTACAGCAACAACCGCCATACGCACCTCACCCTGCAGCCACCTGCTCAGGCAGCATGAGCCGTCAAGATGATCAAGCAGCGATACAAACAGCAATCGACTCGATCAGCAGTGGTCAACGCGTCGTCATAACAGCCTCAGGCTCGATTGGCGCCACAACCATCACCATCGACAGCAGCAAGACGTTTGAAGGCGGTGGAACCATCGACGTCGGCAACAGAAACGGTCGTGGAGCCATCGTCGAAATTCAGGGCGGTACGGTTAATGGGGGTGGAGAGGTGAGACTTGCTGCGAGAGAGGAATTTGCGGGTAATCGGGATATTTCCATCACGGCGGAGGTCAATGATAATTCTGTGACGGAGAATCCTTGCGGGGAGAATTCGAGTATTAGTATTACTGGGAATGCTGCGGTTAATATCTGTTGAAGAGCATTCGCTGGCCATCTTGGTGTTGTCAAATCCTCACACTGTTTACCTGAAGAGTACACCTTTGGAGCGAATCCGAATATCAATTCAAAGATATGGGTCATCATGCCGACGATGATGAAGGGAGTGAACTTGAGCTCTTTGTATTTCTCAAGGCGTGAGTCTTTGATGGCTAATAAGGTTGCGCCGAGGGTGATCAGTCCAGCGGAGATGCAGCTGCCTCCCACGATGAGCACCGGAGTGAACGTCGATTACAGCGGCGAAGAGGCTGTCCTGTGAAGGCATGATGTTCGAGTTGTCCATGTTGGATGCTCGGTGGATACGACTCTCGTACCCTTCACATTCAGAGATGTGAAAATTCCCATCGATATCATCCCAGCAACGGCGACTTCTCAGTCTCCTCGACTCCAGTACTAGCACTCTCTCCCCTCTCCATACCACACCCCTTAACTCCTCTCCTCCACACACAGCCCACCATAGCTTTGATACCCGCACCAATCGCAACCACCACAACAGGAGCCCCATTAAACAAAATCTCACCAAAATAGATCCAAAGCATCATCATCGGCCAGCCAGGATACGGATCGCTGTTGACATAGTAAAGGTGTGAGATGGCGATGGCGAACAAGTGTCCGAAAAGTCCTGTGAGGAGCGTCCAGTCGCATGCTAGTTCTCCAAGATCCCTGCGTTCCAAATGAAGAAGCAGACCGGTCAAACTTGCGGTCGTGATTGTGATGATTACCGCGGGAATGAAGCTGGCCAGCAGGAAAAGTGCGATGAGGAAGACGTTCCAGAGATCGTGCATGGCAGTCGTCAGATCTTGTGGCGTGAGCGATATGGTGTTGTTGAACATGGTGGCGTATGATCGGGTGGGTTTCTGACGGAAGGTAGTAGTAGAGACAGCAAGGCTGATTCCAGTGACGACTTCTGGAGAATGTGGAGCGAGAGGCAGGAGGCAGTGGGTAGTGTAAGCTTGGATTTAGGACATTGTGCGCGCTTGAAAGGCGCTGTTGAGACTTTGCGAAAATATTGTGGTTGTGGCAGGCCAGCTTTATGGTACTGCTGCTCGTGAAACTGAATGGTAAGCAACAAACTTGGCGTGTCGGCTGTGACTGAAGTCTATCTCTCTGGACGCGTTCCCAGACCTGTAATGCGGCAATAGTACATGGTCGGGGACAGCATCATGAGGCCCAGGTAGATTCCAAGGTATCTGAGAATTGAAAGCGGGATGATGAACAATTGTATGATGAATTGAAGGTCGCCGGGTATCAAATGTGGATTCACCGGAACTTGCGTGCTTGTGGTGATGTTTTCAAGTATTGGGGTGATCGCTTGTACAGTCGGAGCGACTCCGAAATGTTGTTGTACCAAGAACATGTGCAGTTCTTAGGTGACTTGGAAACTTGTCACAGGCTTCTTCCTGCAAAAAGATAAGTTCACGATCATGAGCAGTATTCCCGCTTCCGATTGATACTGCCACATTGCCGCAACAGTCCACTCATCCATGGACGACTTCAGTGAAGACGGCCACCTACATGCCGAGCACACCGACCTTGGACGCGATGGAAAGGAGGTCGAGATATTCTTCGTTGCTATTATTGAGTAGCATTAGCACTTCCTACTGACTTGCCATACTACCAAACCTCTTCTGCCCACCACTCGCTGCAATGTAGGCTTCACACCATCGCCTCCAAAATCAAGATCGTCCAGACCAATATGTTTCCTATATTGCCACATCTTGAGGAAGGTGAGATCTTTGCTTTCTGACGAAGGCCACGTGTGCGCGTCCAAAAAGGTTGCGCTGTCTGGCGCCACCAGAAGCGTCTTGTTGGCCGCGCTTTCGCAATGAGCACTTTGCTTGAGCTGCGCAATCATCTTGTCCCCGGACATTCCCATCAAGTCCAAGGTCTCCATGTAGTGGTTGCGGCCATCAAGAAGCCATCTTGGCGGGCTGTATGTTTTCCACCAGAATGCTTGACTCACAGCCTCCTGCTGCGCGATCCAGTTCTGCGCCGGCACAACGCCGCCTTGATGGTACTGTCCAAAGAGAACAGCTGCCAGGGCATTGAAGAATATCCATATTGCTACCCAGTAGCGAGCTCCACGTGGAGGCAAGGCAGTGGTAGCAAGCAGGAGAGGAACAGCCGGCAGAAGGAATCGAGGTTCTTGGTGTGGAAACAGGGACAAAGCTATAGTTCCGGACACTGCTGACCACAGGAGAATGTCCTTCCTACTCCAGAGGAACAGCAAGGGAATGGCCGGCCCTATGAGTTGCGGGAGATTGGCGACAAAGTGCTGCCAGAAAGGATGAAGACCGTGCTGGGAGAGATTTGCGACGTCAGTATTGTAAGTCAAATTGTTCCACGGTGTGAAGACGGCGGTCTTCAAGAGATCTCTGACATGAGGTCGATAGCCTTGGTAGAATTCGGTGTCCATTGTGATAGCAATCGCCATGGTAGCCAGTCCACTAAATAGCATGACTGGGATACGGAGAGGGCGTTTCAGCAGGCTAGGCAGGAGTTGGAGCAGAGGTAACAGGAGGTATGCCGGGAATGTAATGCGATTGAAGACGCCGACCACTGCAAGAAACGCGAGGCCAGCGCACGGCTGTACGAGCAGCTGTTCGGGATCGTTTGAGAGTCGACGAATCAAAACCAGAGACCAGAGGACAGCGATCGTCTCGATACTGTTCGAGAATGTGTGGGTCTGTAGAGTCCAGGTCACGTATGATGAGGCCACAAGCATTATTGCCCTCCGTCGCTCGTTCGGGATTGGCACAAGTTCATGGATGGCCCAATCGCCGAGGATGAAGCTCATGAGAAACATGAGACAGCGTAAAGTGTAGAATGCTACGCTCGGCGGCACTGGGCCATAGCCAAGCCCTTCCCAGATCCATTTCAATACCGTCAGAGGCCAGCCATAGACGAGCCAGAAGGGGAATATGCTTCTTATGGGGTAGGATGAGGTGAACTCCCATGTCTTGTAGATGGGGTACCCGAAGACCTCGCCTATTTGAAGTTGTCAACACGCTATGTACGTGTGATGCGCATGCGTGGGAGCCAGCTTACCGGCAATGATCTCAGGCCCTTGGAAGTGTTCATCGGGATGGATGTAGCTCGGCTGCAGGGCAAAGTACAACCTGAGCAGCACCAGCAGTAGGTAGAGTCTGCGCCACATCGCGTCGCCGTCGGGCGTCGGGCGGTTATGGCAGGCCAGGTGGCATTAGTATTAGACAAAGCAGTATGGACAAGGATGGGTTGAGAAGCGAAGTTCATGATGAGAGCATGTCTCGGTGATGTCGGCAGAGTCGCGTGTCGCGTTGCGCAAGCAGGCAAGACAACATCGCGACTGATGAGCTCGGGCCGCCCAGACATGCCCAACAATGACGGACTGCGGTGCGCAGCGGCATGTGATATCCAGCAGCACTTCACTCACCCTATTGTACACCGAATCATCTGCATGTGAATCTTCCGTGCGTGCCTGCCTCAGCATCTCCGCACAGCCGCCGCATTGACGTTAGCATTGTTTGCTGTTTGCGCCTATCAAACTGAGTCACAAGCCACGATCCGCACAAGGCAGGCAGCATTCGGCGCTAAAGTGCGGCTCATCCCGTCCAAAGGTGGGCTTCCTTCTTAAAGTGTCACTCGCCCGCACTTGCACTTCTATCCACCACTTCGAACAACCACTTGCGACTCAACAAAGACCACCACACCACACCTTCCGACACATATCCACAAACAACACCAGCTTCACCAAGAAGTCCTTTCAACACATCCACAGATATCATGTCTTCCGCCGAGGGTGAGCAGAGCGTCAAGCTCGTGTCTTCCGACAACGTTGAGATCGTCACTCGTGAGTTCCAAAATCATTTTGACGGCGCGCGCCCCATATACTGACAGCCGCGACAGAGCGCAAGGTTGCTGAGCGCTCCATGCTCATCAAGAACATGATCGAGGACCTCGGCGCCCCAGGCGAAGAGCCCATCCCAATCATGAACGTAAGTCACACCATACCACCATCCTCATCTTCCGAGACAGTGTCTAACAAGCTCCGCAGGTCTCCGAGGCCGTCCTTCGCAAGGTTCTCGAGTGGTGCGAGCACCACAAGAACGACCCAGCCCCATCACAAGACGATGACGCCGACTCCCGCAAGAAGACGACTGACATCGAGGACTGGGACCAAAAGTTCATGCAGGTCGACCAGGAGATGCTCTTCGAGATCATCCTCGCTGCCAACTACATGGACATCAAGGCACTCCTCGATGTCGGCTGCAAGACTGTGGCCAACATGATCAAGGGCAAGTCTCCAGAGGAGATTAGGAAGACATTCAACATCCAGAATGACTTCACCCCCGAAGAGGAGGACCAGATCCGCCGCGAGAACGAGTGGGCCGAGGATCGCTAAGCGACATCTCGCCCTTTTACCATCATCATTTATCGCGACATCCCACGACCCTCCTATCTTACTTCATCACTCGAAAGTCGCAATATCCACCCACATCGAACTTGGCATAAGCGGCTGGTCTTTTGGCGATGGACATGCTGCAAGGCGTTCGGCGCTTACTGGGATGGAAATTTTCATGACATGATACGACGACATTGCCGCACGCAGCTGGTTGCGTCTGGGGGGTTAACTGCCGGTGGCCATGCATAAGACGTGCTGCACTATATAGCGCGACGGCGCTGGAGCTGTTGAATAGACAGCCGAATGACAAAAACTACAAAACTACCTTGATTTCCATCTTCACGTGCGTGCGTGTGTGCGAGGCTTCATGGCTTGCCGCGAATCCGCTTGCAAGCCAGTAAAGAGCTTGTCGTTGGGCAGAGCTGACGGGCTTCGTCTCATCCCATCAGGCTTCGGGCTTCAAAGCGTCATCCATCTCTCTGCTTCGCAATCTGACCTTGTTCAATATCACATGACTGGTTGTATGTGACTTTGTTCAATATCACATGACTGGTTGCATCGCTGCCTTCTCGTTCCCATCACCTCTCAATTGTCACTATCTCCTCTCAGCGCCCATGTCCTTTAGTGCTGCATCCGTCGAAGCGCAGCTCATCGTTGGCTTGCATGCTCGAAAATTGAGAATCGAGTGCTATTGTGTGTGATCAAAACTCGCGCTCGCGCGAAAAAATAATTCTATCCCAAACTACCTGCCCTACTCTGCCCAAATTCCGTATCCCTTTCATCGCTAATGCCATCTCATCGCTTCCCAACCTGGTATAACCATTCTTAACACCCTTTGCCATGCCAAACCATATCATGCAATTCCAGAAGCATTTTCCAACGCGCCAAATCCCTTTCCTCGTCAGTATTGAGATATCTCGCTCGTACTAAGAGCACTCCTTTTCATCGGCGGCGGAGGGGGAGGTTTCTTCGCTCGTGATGGGGGAGGTGGAGGTGGAGGCTTCTTCCCTCCGTTCGTCGCGCTGCCATCTTGGGCTGCTGCACTCCAACTTGCGGTCCTGTGGTGATCGACCAGATCTCTTGAGTAGTCGGACTGGTCATCTCCGAACACGTCGGGCGGAGGCTGAGAGCTTTCTCTTGACTTCGTGATTCGCAAGTTTGAGCGTGCTCCGAGAATACTGCTTGGTTCTGTAGGTACGCGAGTGAGCCGTGGCATTGGGGCTGGGGAAAGAGTCTCGCTTCTAGAGAGCGACATAGGACCTTCGAATCCGGGTGTGCTGCTGCTTCGTAGACCGTTTGGCCGCACTGGAAGATCGAAGCCCGGTAGTTCTTTTCGAGGCGAGTTGGCGCCCGGTGGAACCCGGGAACCTATTCGTCGTGGTGGCTCGAGAGGTTCGTCTTCGTCTATTCTAGAGAACCGGTCGGCGTTCGAGGAGGCTCGCGATCGGGTTCCATGGCGTGCAAGACCATTGACTGGCGAGGCTGTGCCGGACCGGCTTAGAGAAGCTTGCCTGATAGTTGTTAGCTAACGTTCCGACGTGTTCGGAACGGAAGACTTACGATGCTGGCCAATCTCGCTTCAGTTGCAGAAGCACTTCCCGACATCGATCGTAGTATGTCAACTCTGCGTCCAGAAAGCTTGTGAGGTCCTGCACAGAGTCCACTTCTGCCTCCTTGATGTCAAGCATTCTCCGGTAGACGTCCTCGCTGCTCTCCTCATACTTCATCTTCTGATTCCGAAGCTCCTCTTCCATCCTGAAGTCCTCCTTCTTGCTCTTTTGCATCTTCACGCCTGCCGTGTCGTATGCCAATCTTCTGCTGTCCAATTGCTTTCTCGCCCTCTCGTACTCTTTCATCTGCACCAAGCTCCGCTCGAGCGATTCCAGCCAGCTGCTAGTAGCATTGGCGCAGTACGTCTCCTGCATCCGAGCAATGCGCTCGTTCGCTCTTCCAAGCATAGCCAGACATTGTCCAAATTCGGAATCTGGTTCGAAGTCATCGCCGTGTGCTACCATTGTGCTGCCAAAGTAGCCGACTGGAAGTTGTTGTTCCTTGTCCTGGTATTTCTCGCGCTTTCCCGTGTGTTGAACGTAAACGTCCGCGGATTTCTTCAATCGCTGCATGCCTGGAAAATGGTTAGCCAGATACTTGCGAGAATGGTTGATTGAGCGTATGCACCTTCGTGTCGCAGCTGCATCTCCATCTCCAATGCCTTGAACTCCTCGCTTGTGTCTGTCTTGACCTCGCCTCCCATCCGCTCCTTGCCCCATTGCTTCATGCGATCGAACTTCTTATTGATATTCATTGTGACGACGATTGCCTGATCCAATCAATTGTGGTGTATCCAGACGCAAGAACAAGCAATCGAAGGCGTCGTCTCCCACGGGAGAATAATGAGTTGGTGACTTCGTGTCGACAGGTCGTTCGATGCCGATGGAACCTAGGAATCGCCCAGGGTTCTTCACGAACTAACTTGTTTCTCGGGGACAAGGAACCTGAACGTTGTCTAAGCACGGGTCTCCACGGGAAGTCTGACCGTGTTCTTGCTTGCCCTGGAAAGCTCCAAGAAAACTGGACACCAGTTTGCAGTAGTGTGGTGAGATATGTGCTGCCAGCACAGCATAAAAAAGCGATCGATAGATCGGAGGATTCAAGCGGAAGTCGTCGGTGGTGGATGATGGAATGCAAGCACTGCACGCGCCACGTACTCCGGCACTCTCGCGTCAATGGTTGGTGGGAAAGTCAACACTAGGATCGTTCAACCAGAAAAGTGTTTGGTACAGGAGCAGGAGCAGGATGATGAGGCAGACGTTTCATGTTATTTATTTCTCCTGGCGACACTGCTACTTATTATTATTACGAATGGTGGGACGCGAGGACTTTTGGTGGGGGACAGGGACTGGTTCGCCTTCCGCAGGTCCCGAGCCAGCCTTCTCTGGTTGTGCTTCCGGTCGGCTACCAAGGGCGCTTGTTTGACGTACGATTATTGATTACGATTGCGCGTGAGATGATTGCGGCTGTGTCGAATGTGGCATGGAACTGCTTCGGCTACACGTGGACGAGACACGATGCAGCGACTACTGTTCCTGTGTGAGAAATAATGTATGCAAGTGCAGAGTTGATCACTTGGGTTCAGCGGACAGAATCTCACACAACGTTCAACGTTCTGCTGGTACGAAGCTGTGGCTTGCCAATGTGCCTCCATGTCATACTAGACTTGTGTCCAGGCTCGCCACCACGTCTTGCTGGCTACTGTCTCTGGCCACCGGGCTCGACGGACTCTGTAGAGTGATGCTGCTTCAGAATCTGTTGTGGCAGTGGTCGCACATCGATTGAGAAAAAGCAGAGGGCGGAGGAGCACATGGCTTTTGAACGTAAACTCATTTGGTCTGCACAGGATTCCTGCAGGTAGCTGTATGCCTTCACAGCCTCGCTATAACCCATGAAGCCTTTGCTTTCGATGCAGCGCAAATCCGTGAAACTCCCTCCAACACCGCCAGCCTCAATGATGCGTCTAGTCCTTGGTCTTCTGGGTACCACGGAGCAGACCAGTTCTCCGGGCAGCGATAAGACCGGCCTTTTGACCTTGTGCGGCGTAGCGGGAGATGGTTGAAGCCTTACCAATATGCTGGTGGTTACCACCACCGTGAGGCTACGAATTGTGTTAGCAAATCTCCTCGTGGTCAACATGTCGGTACAACATACATGGTCGACTGGGTTCATGGCAACACCACGAGTCTTTGGCCATGAGTTGCGCTTGACAGCGAACTTGTGCTTGGCGCGCGAGGCCTTGAGGAGAGGCTTGTCCGTACGTCCACCACCAGCAACGATACCAATCATACCACGGACAGAGCTCTTGACAACCTTCTTGGCACCAGATGGGAGCTTGACACGGGTCTTGCCCTCGTCTGGGTTGTGGCCGATGACAGTGACATAGTTTCCAGAGGTTCGGCCCAATGCACCGCGGTCGCCAATCTTCTCCTCCACGTTGCTGACAACAGTACCTTCAGGGACAGAGCCGAGTGGGAGGACGTTGCCGATGGTGAGAGATGCGTTCTTGCCGGCGTAGATGAATTGGCCAGTGTACATGCCCTCGTTTGCGATGAAGGTCTCGGTGTGGAGCCTGTATCGATATGGATCGCGGAAAACGACCTTGGCGAGAGGTGCACCACGTCCGGCGTCGTGGACGATCTCCTTGACTACGCCACGAATGTATCCATGGCGTTCTGCGAAGTCGTAGGTTCGGAACTTGGCCGCGGCCTTGTTGAGGCGGGTGTTGGCGGTGAAGATCGAGCCGCGACCCTTTCTCTGGTTGCGAATGACACGACCCTGTGAAATAATACTGTTAGTTCTGCTGCCATCTCTTTCTCAATGTGTCTTCAGTGTAGGGATTGCCGCCTCCAGTGGATGGCTCTGCGCATCGCTTGAAGCTCTCCTGTAGGCGGCAACTCTGGGGCGTATTGAAGGAGTCGGTTCGGGATTGCGTACCATCTTGACTTCGCTGGGCGGATGGGTTTCGTGGTATGGATTGTCAACGACGAAGCTGAGGTCTTCGAAGTCTTGGGTGTGCTCGAATTCTAGGAAGGCGCTAGTGCGGCGCCTTCTGTGCGGGATTGCCAAGCTTGTGCAGCCTCAGGCAAGCAGAATTCTCGCCATAAATCATGGTAGAGCTCTCACCACAATGCAAATTGCACCACTTTCTTTCGTTCGTGATCTTATGCGAAGAAACCCCATTAGTTCAACCACCGATACAAGAGTCATTTCTAAACAAGTGAGACTGGAGATTTGCGTACTAAAGACTCACATCATTCATGCTTTAACAGGAGCAGCAGCGGGCGTGAATTCTGGCACTGCAGCCTCTCACTTCGAGTCAACATCGCTCGCTTTCCCACACCTCCTCCAAAGCCTCTCACGCGTCTTCTCAATACCACCAGCTCCAACAACTCATCAAACGCGTTGCGATAAATGCAAATTTATGTCTCATAGGACTTGCGAAAATTTCCATATATGCAACACCACAATTGCAGCTAAACTGACCTCGAAAATGCCACGGCAAGTGTATTCTACTTGTTTCTTTCCGACGAGCTCGATACATCCATAGATGCCCAAATTTCTAGTATTGGGTGGCTTGAAGCACTTTTGCATGAGGAACTTCAGAAGATTTGTGGCCGTCAACGAGCTGAGCGCAGCTTCGCGACATTTGGACAGACTAACGCCGAACAATCCATAAGGCCGGCTTCAGATTTCAACAGTCATCAAGAGTTGTGAGAAGCCATCGACAACGTCATCGATGCACCTTGGAAACACTCTTCGCAGGCCACATACGGTCATCAGACTACTGAATAAACTCAGTGGCCCGCGCGAAAGCACCAGAAACCCGCCGAGCGTGCTTCAAGGCCTTGATGTTGCAATATTACCATGCTATGGGTCTGTTTCCATGGATCTCTCAAGACTCATGAAGCTATCAAGCTCAGCGGATTCCTTTGGCCTCACAATATCTGCAGCGCAGTTGGGGGCCATCTTGGAGGGTATGAGGTCCAGAACTTCGAGTCGCCACGGCCAGGAGCACAATGCTCGCAAGATCTCAGTAGAGCCGCTGCGGCCTCAGTCTAGCGAGGAGCTTTTTCGTACTCGCCCGGGCGACATCTCCAAGCTCGAGACTCTTCAGCAAACACTCGGGAGTTCGCGATCGTATGACCAACGTCAACAATATCGCACCAGATGAGTCCCAAAGGCTTTGCCCTGGGTTCTGGTCATTGCATGTGTCGCCGCTATCTCCTGTCGATGCTGCCCGAGAAACTGCTGCAGAAGCATAGCCCGGTCGCAACCTTGGCGATTGAAAGCCGACATTCCTCACAAGATCGCGACGATCACAACTAGGAACCCGTCGAGCCACTGAAAATCGACGAGTTCGGGCCAGGCAGCCTTTGTACATCATCCAGATAGACCGAGTGAATAGCAAACATCGTTTCACCACCCTCATCATCGTCTGCGTGCCGTCCAGCTTAGTCATTGGCTGTTGCTGTTCCCCTAGATTGAATTCTGACGTTGCCCGCCCTTGCTCTCAACCCAACTTCCACCCTGCGACTTTCAATCCCGACCACCACACCTTGTGCACACCCAAACACGCGCACGACGATGGAATCGGACTCAGATAGCAGCGGTCTATCATCCGCGCCAGAAGATGAGGTCAAGAAACTCGCGCCGATTTTTCTGAAAGCAAAGAAGGCTACCAAGTTGGTCGCTCCTCCACCAAAGGCCTCGCCTCCTCGGCCTAAGAGAGAACCATCACCACCACATGAAGAAGTCCTCGCGGATAACCCAGACATTGCAGTATGTCGGCCACGCTTTGGCGCGAAAGTTCGCGTCTTGAACGCGTATCGACACGCCTGTTAACATTTTCTGGCAGTTTATCGTTATGTTCCGATCGCGCTTCAACGAATGCTTCCCTGGCAAGTGCCCACAATTTGGACCGCAAGATATCGAGAGAGGAGTTGTGGACAGCATACCCAGTCCAGAAGTGCAGCAACTGTTGTGCGCCTTGCTGGGATTGGTTCTGAATAGAAAGAAGCCAGTTGAGTAAGTCAGGCTTAAGCGCGAGGATACTGTTGGAGGAAATGCCAATAGTGGCAGCAAAAATGTTGGTCAAAGTTGGCTGACTGAACATTGCAAAGGCGAACCTCTTATGGACGCGCGCTTGAAGAAGCAGTCCTCTCGCACAAGGCACAATGGCCATACAAGTGGGCCGGCCAGAACCCGCTGCATGGCGGCAAGGACTTCAACAATATGAATCCGGCGGAGAGGGTAGGCTTGCAATTGTACAGGGCACTACATGAGAGATGCTGATTGTGGGGGCAGCTCAATCTGCTCCGTACGCTCGTGATCTGGGCACTCGGCTCCTCCGAGCTTGTATCCGGGATGATTAGAGACAAGTACAAGCAGCAACGACATCACGACGACGAGAACCAGCCCTTATCGGTCCAGCCATGGGGCCAAGACGGCGATAAGAGACGGTATTTCTTGATCCAAGGACTCGACGATACTGGTTTCAGAGTATACAGGGAGGGCAGTCGCCATACCAAGAACGCGCATTGGTACAACCAGGCAGGCACCATTGAAGAGGCGAAGGCATTGGCAGAGAAGCTTGAAAAGGTGGATGGTAGTCAGGCAGCGAGGAGACTGAGTATACGCATCACCAATGCCATCCCCATGTTTGAGGCGACACAGGAGAAGAGACAGCGTCGCGAATACCGCCAACAGCGTCGTGCAGCTTTCTCACGACCCGAGCCTGGCTTTGGCATCTACGAAGGACGCACTCGTGGCAAGCGCATGCGATATACCTACGACGATAACGAGGACGGAGAAGACTCGGATGCCACATCTACTAGGAGGTCGACACGCGGCCAGAGCAACCGCAGCACACCTTTCGAAGCTGGACCCAGCTTCACAGCATCTGGCCGGCAGATCAAGCAGCCTCGTCAAGGTGCTTACGGAGAGAGCCTTCTCAGCACCAATGTCATGACTACAGATGAACTGGGTCCAGACTACTCTGATGCTAGGAGCATGCGATCGGGCACAGCAGACTCGGAACCACCACGGGCAAGCGGCCGTCCCTCACGAGCAGCCGCTCGGGGTATGTCACACGTGTCAGAGAATCCGAGAAAGCGGAAGCTTATCGACGGCTACAATGTCGTTGATGAAATGAGCGACGAAGACAACGCTGCTGAGAGCGATGGAGGCTGGGATTCTGAGAAGAATGGTGATGACGAAGATGAGAAGATGGACGATGCAGACGACGCCGATTCGGAGACCAGTGAGGAGGAAGACGAGGACTCCGAGCGGGCGTCTCGCAGCTTGGTCGTCACCCTGAAGGTTCCACAGCATGCATTGGCAGGTGCGCCAGCACAACAGGATACGCCACCTACCAGCCCACCTTCACGCGGAGAAGAGCAGCATCCAAAGTGCGAGTCGGGAATGGAGATGGGTACCAAGCCGGATGCTACAAGAGACGCGCCCAAGCCACCGGATCCGCACTCAGGCATGGCTAATGGTATCAAGAATGAGGCTTCGTTCACATCAAATGGGACTCTGCCGTCAGTCGCTGAGCACACTATCCCGGCCACGAAACTGCCCTTGTCGCCAAAGGTCGTGGTTCCGTATGGCGAAGCACATCAGACTCAGTACCCGACGCCGGTCGCCACACAGCACGGCTTGCAACAGCCTGGAGCTCAGATCTCTGGCGCTGTCGTGAATGGAAGTCGACACTAGAATGGTTATGCATGGGAGGTGTCTAGAAAGAATGGGAAAGTCGAAAGCATTGCAGCGAGCTGAGCCGATGTTTGCGCTGGGCTATGGCCGTGTTTGTATTAAAGCTGCTAGGAGAATCGCAGCTGGTCTCCAGAATCGAGACACTATATGAGAGGGAGGAGGCCTATAGCCTGTGCCCAACCTAAATGAACGACATTACTTGAAATAATTCAGAGCCTAGCGTTGTTCCTCTCGCACAGGTCATGGAGCTGCTATCACTAATGCCTTATCAGGTGGTCATGATCGATGCGAATATATCGCTGAAAGAACCGGGTTGCTTCTAGAACACTCGCAATGCCATTGGAATGAAGCATGCCGGAAGCTTCAACTACTTCTGGCTCGATCGTCCCGGCATGCATGGAGGAGTGCTATCGGCAAGTCGGTGTAGCAAGACACGCATGAACGCAGACATAATTCATTCAATTCCTGCCTCTTCAAGGCTTCCATGATCTTCGATCTCTGATACTAAAAGAAAGACGACAAAGAGTGTCCAATCTCATCCATGGTTTCGTAATGCCAATTTCCCATAACGCCAATTTCTCGGGGTATCGCGTATAAGCAAAACGAATTCAGTCTGCAATGTGTCCTCCGCATCTCAGGTCGTAGTGTAGGATTTACTGCGCATCTTTAGAGTCCTCGAGAGAGCCCGATGAGACGGAGCTGGCTGTTCGGCTGAAGAGGGATCGAGCGGTTGGATTCTTGTTGTTGGTTCTGAAGGGATGTTAGTCACTATTGCCATATCTCGAGGAGATTGAGTATTGTTAGAGGATGTTTCGACTCACTGCTTGTTGATCTGTCTCTGCTTGAAGCCTGCGAGCTTTTGGCTGGCGGGGCTGAGGATGGCATCGGATGGGGAAACATATGTGCCGTTACCCTTGCTGTGTAACATCTCAGTACGGAGCCCACTGTCAATAGCACCACCTTGATCTCCTACCGATTAAGTCCGGAGACCTGCTTGTGCTGCTCTCCATGCAGCTTGTTCTCTTCCCCAGGCGCAACCTGGTTCGACCCGCCCGAAGTCATCTGGACATTGCTGTCTCGGTCGGAGAGTGCTGCAGCGAAGGATTGAGACATGATTGCTTGGTTGTATGCTTTTGTAGAGTGCTTGAGAAGTGTGTTGGTTTGTGGTCTTGCGTGGTATGTTCTTTAGAAGTCTGCCGTCTATGCTACTCGACTGCTTGAAATCTTCGCAGGCGATGACATCGAGCAACAACCAATTCGTCGGCTGAGCAACCGCCCAGACAGACCCCGGGGAATCACAGCATTTTGGCAATTATCCAACTTGTCCCACTTATTTTGGCAGGCAAGGCCGCCCACGCTCGGCGGTAGCCGCACCTTGGCACGAAATTCGTCGCTTTCTACCAAGACGACTCTGCCCAGCGAAGTCATCACACCCAGCGACAACCGGAGAGGCACACCGACAACATGCCTGTGCGTACATGTCGAGAGGAGATGGAGGTCGTTACGGAGCATACTAACGGCGATACAGTCCCACAAGACCTTCCGCACCAAGCAGAAGCTCGCAAAGGCGCAGAAGCAGAACCGCCCAATTCCTCAGTGGATTCGCCTTAGGACTGGCAACACCATCCGGTACGATATCCCAGTGACATGAGAGAGAGAGATCGACAGCCACAGAAGAGGGTGAAAACTGGCATCGAAGAGCGATCACTAACGAGGCCGCAGTTACAACGCCAAGAGGAGACACTGGCGCAAGACTCGCATTGGTATCTAGATCACTCGCCACAACAACCGAGCATCACTCAGGGACACGAATTTCGAAAATGTCACCGATCAGGGTTACGGCCTCGTGTGCCGCGTGAGCTGGGAGTTTGAGAGAGCATGGAAGGCACTGCATTCAGTTACGGACATCAGGCGTTGAGAATTGCAAGAGGCAGGGCGATGGGAAATGCTGCTACGAATTCCAGCGTGTTTGCTGCTGAGAAGATAGTGCGCATGATGCAAATGACAAAGTCTTGAAGAAACACTTTCTACTGTCGCGCTGCGTTCCATGGGAAGCTCTATGCACCTGAAATGATGATACTACCACAACGCCACTGCTGAAATCGCGCACACATATCACATACAGCATCACACTCCCGTCTTCTGCTGCAACAAGAAGCCCGCCGCCTTCCCCGTATCCACTACAAGCACTCCCTCCTCCCCCTTCCCAAGCAACCCAACATCACCCTTCATACTGCCCACATCGTGCTCCCACAACTTCACACTCCCCATCTGAAACCTCATAACACAACTACTCCCCGCATAAGCCACTCGATCCCCCAACTCAATCACCTCCCCATGTTCCATCCTCCTCTCTGCCACCGCCCCACCCTCACTCCCGCACCGATTCGCAAAAACCACAATGATCGGTTCACTCGGCTGAGAATCCACTAACGGCCAAAACCTCTCTAACCAGTACGCCACCGTCTCCATATCCGGTCTCTCAGGATTCGTCAAACATTCCTCGGGCGTCAGCCTCGTCAGCCAAGCCATTGACAACACAACCAAATGACAGCGATTTCTGAGCATATGTGTCGCGAACTCGTAATTCGTCCATGGCGAGGAGAATTTATAGGGATTGATATCCATACATATGCCATGCCCCACGGGAGAATTATTCGGGAGTTTGGGTGAGAGCGTTGAGATGGTGGATGCGAAGAAAGGTGTGTGCGTAGACGTCGATAAGAAACCTTCAGACGCCCAAGTTTCGTCGGTATAGTAAAGGAAAGATTTCCTGTAATTTGCGAGGATCTGGCCCAAGGGGCCGACGGTGACTGTGGAGTTGTAGCGTTTTTCGTCGTCGGATTTTTCGGGGTAGCCGACGATGATGGTGCAGTTTCTTTCTTTGGCGGTTTTCACGGCCCATTGGGTTGTTGGGCCGGAGGCGGTGGGTTCGAGGTAGGGTTGGATGTGGGAGAGGGAGGAGAAGTTGTAGCCTGAGAATGCCATCTCTGGGAGCACGAGGAGGTCGAGGGTTGTTGTGCATGTTGAGAGGAGGTTGTTGGCGTGGGAGATGTTTTGGTCGACCTCGCCCAGAGTCGGATTGAATTGGAGAATGGCGATCTTCATGATGGGGAGTCGGAAGCTCTTTCGATTTTGGAATATAAGATCTTGTCCGGTTCTTGATGTTCTTCCTTGACTTATTGGCAGCGCAGCTGCCAATCTAGACACCGCGGCCACCGCCCGCGAAAATCCAAGTTGTCCGCCAAGACCGAAATGATTGGCTAAGAAATTTCGCAGAAGTAATATGCAATCAAAGATTGAAGGGAAATTTGACTTACCCCGGATTTTAGCGTAGAACGTCAATCGAAACAAATATTAAAGGGAAATTTAACTTACCCCGGATTTTAGCATAGAACGTAAATCGAAAGCGCTTAACGAATCCCGGATATAAGCGTAATACGCTAATAAAAATTTAGTAGGAGCTTAACGTATACTAAAGACCTAGATATAGCTATATCCTACTAAATATAAAGCCTATCGACTAGTATAAAGGTCCCCGTAGCGAAAATATTAGTAAGATTACTAATAGTACTATTAATTTTAATAAAGCTATTAGTAGAGCTACTAGTAACTTTAGACTATTAGACTATTAGTAGGACTAGGTATTAAGAAAACTATTAACAAACCTATTAATTAAACTATTAGGTAAACTATTAGATAGACTATTAGATAAACTCTTAGCTAAACTATTAGTAAACCTAATAATAGAACTAATAATAAAACTAATAATAAAACTAATAACTCAAATAGTACTAATAGTAAAACTATTAGTAAAACTAATAACTCAAATAGTACTAATAGTAAAACTATTAGTAAAACTACTAATAGGACTATTAATAAAACTACTAATAAAACTGTTAACAGAACTACTAATAAAACTACTAGTAAACTACCAAGACTACGAGCTAGCCTACAAACAAAACTATTAACAAAACTACTAATAAAACTATTAATAAAACTACTAATAAAACTATTAAAGAAACTACTAATAAAATACTAATTAAAATTTTCGTTAAACTGAAACTAGTAATCGAACTACTAATTAAACTATTAATTAAATAGTTAATTAAGCTATTTATATAATTACTAATAAAACGACTAATTAAACTACTAGTTAAGCTACTAGTTAAACTACTTCTTAAACTACTAACGAAATTTTAAATTAAACCGTTACTAGTAATTAAAATACTAATCGAACTGCTAGCTAAACTACTAATTAAACTGCTAATCGATCTACTAATCGACCTACTAATCGACCTACTAATCGACCTATCTCTATTTAGAAGTTAGTAATTTAGTACTATATACTTTAAATTATATAATTTATCGGGGGACTAGCTACTAGTAAAATACTAATTAAAATTTCTATTAAACTAAAACTACTAATTAAACTACTAATTAAACTATTGATTAAACTACTAATTAAACTACTAATTAAACGGTTAGTTAAACTATTAATTAGACTATTAATTAAACTACTAATTAAACTATTAATCAAGCTATTAATTAAACTATTAATCAAACTATTAATCAAACTATTAATTAAACTATTAATTAAACTATTAATTAAACTACTAATTAAACTATTAATCAAGCTATTAATTAAACTATTAATCAAACTATTAATCAAACTATTAATCAAACTATTAATCAAACTATTTATTAAACTATTAATCAAACTATTAATTAAACTATTCATTAAACTATTAATTAAACTATTAATTAAACTATTAATCGAACTATTAGTCGAACCGTTAATCGACCTCTACTAATCGAACTATCTCTATTTCGAAGTTAGTAATTTTAATTAGTATTCTATACTTTAAACTATATAATTTATCGGAGGACGAGTAATAGAAATAACTAGTATAATAGCTAAATCTATAATAGCTAGATAGTATAGCTTAAAGCTATTAATCTCTAAGAATTATACTACTAGACTTACTAGCTAGAGGATAGCTACTAGTAATTAGGGGTTATATATAATATATCTAGGCCTCTACTAAGGTAGTATATCTATTCTTTTAGTATATATTCTATATATAGCCTAAATAATTAAGTTTTATTTATATATTTTAAGCTAAGTTTAATAACTTTTACTACTAGTAAATTTACTACTAAAGTTAGAAGTCTAAATCGCTATTTTAGTATATAGCTAAAGTTCTATTCTCTCTTACTATAGTGACTAGCTAAGTAGTACTTAGTATTTGCTATAGATATATTTAATTTTCTAACTAAATATTTAAAGCCTACTAATTAAGAGTCTAAGGGAATTAATAGCGCGCGTCTAGACTAGTAGCGAACTACTACTTAGATACTAGTACTTATATTAAGCCCTACTAAACTATATACTATAGCTAGAACAAACTACTATATAACTTAGAAAAGCATAACTATAATTTAGAATTGTAAGATTAGTAAATTTTCCTTTATAAACTAGGGTATAGATATATATAGAAACTAAAATTATAATATTCTCTAAAACTAGTATCGTATTCCTAGAACCTTATAAATAGCTATATTATATATAATATAAAGATACCTAGGCCTATAGTTATAGAGTCTAAGAGCCTTTAGCTATTGAAGTTTACTAGCCTCGGTAGTTGAGATATATATACGATTAGTAATCAAAACAAATACATTGCAAGCTGCCAGTCTTGGAACGCGATAGTGGTCCACAACACTTCCTAGTTGCTGTTGGTGTTGTGCCAGCATGGCTTCAGTGGTAGCTGGGACTGAATGTTTATTATACAACGAGGCGTAATTCCTTCAATGCTGCGCCAGAGCTCCGTGCTTGCCTCTACTGTGCTTTCTCTTCTGGACTTATTCTTCCGATGTTGATATTTTACTTTTGTGTTGTCGTGCAGAGTCGGGATGTCGATGGCTTCTGGCAGCGAGGATTGAGGCTCGAGCTGGCCGCCACTTCTTGCCGGCGGTCTGCAACTCCATCTCGTCACCATAACAAACGCGTAACTTCAACTCGTCATGGGCTGGCAGCTGCATACTTCCGCTCTTATTGATTCTTCCTGGAGCCTGCGTTACAGGACAGTCCGAGGAATGGCAGAGTGCAAGCTTAGTTCCCATCGTGAAGCCGAGACGCAATCCATGAAGTGACAACAAAATGCTCTGGCTCTGGAGACACTACCTGCTAACTGTGGAGATGTAGTAGCCCATCAGACTGGACAAGTTCAGATGAAGTTCGAATACCGTCGTACTTGGTTGAAGAATCCTGCGAGGCTCGACCTCTTTACATTTCGCTACCAACTCCCTTCTGCATCTACGCTCAATAGATGACTTGCGGCAACCCATCCTTCTACGCTCCTCCATATTTGGCCCGGCTGCTAGCACAGCAGTCATTCCATTTGCATGGGCACGCTGCTCATCCCAACTTGAGCTTCTTCATCAACAGGTTCCGCTGTCTCCTGGACTTTAAGAGCATCGCGCGTCTTCGAAAATTCGGCAAACCAATACCACATGTCTCTCACAGAGGTGACAAGCCAAACAAGCATCAGTATGATCAGATGGACGATTAAGCTGTCCAAGAAAAGCGTCTGAAGGCTTTCGCGATGCGCAGACTCTCTTCCCTCCGCAGGCTGATGACCGTCCAGGAGCACACAGACCGCAATGAGATAAATCATCGCTGTCACAGGTGGGAAGAGATTTGCCAGTGGACTGCGAAGGTTGTATTCTCGCCAGATCATAAAATGGCAGAGCATTCCCGCGATGTATGACACGAAGGCTCCTGCAATGGTGATACCGAAAAAGATCGTCGCTGTTATCGCGGCCTCCGATGTGCTCACGTCTGTCTGCAGATTGCCGACGTCGTCCACTACGACATTTGGGCCGCCCCAAGTCTGGCCGAGGCGGTAATTGGCGCCCTTGAAGAGTGGTCCTGGCTGTGTAAAGTCCATATTTGCGGTATGTTCGACTGCTCGACGAAGGCTGAGTGTCGATAGAGTTCGCTGCAGTGTGGCCGTAGATATTCTTGCTTCTTCATTGTCAGTAGCATGGAGGAGCGTGATTCTTATACAGACGAGACGATTTTGAGCTTTCTGAGGACATTAAAATCTGCTGACTGTGACTGCTAGAAATGGAATCTTCGTGGTGAACACTGGAAGCCCCAGATGCTTTTCAATACTGCTTACCAGCTCCACGAGGACTTAGGAAAAATCTTTCACCTGCTTTTGCACACAGTACTCTCCCATCAGACGCAGGCCTTCCCAATCATCAACATGTCTGGCAACCATTCTGCCGACAATTGGCGCAATTCCAGAAATCAACACGAGCGCAATCACACACCGGACCACCATTACGATGTCTCGCGCGCCGCCCAAGGCTATCCACGACCCAAACGTCCCATCATAGGCCATCGCCCGCCTCGCAAAGTTCGTCGTCCACCTCACACACCTCGTACCATGGCGACTGATCTGGCTCAAACTGGGCGCTTTCTGTGGGTTCGAGGTCCGGACGCCCGTTACAAGAGAGTGGAAGTAGCGCCTAGCCGGATGCATCCAAACCATTCTGCGCGAGTTTGCGATGGGCAGCTTATTACTGCCACCGATAACAGTGATCTGGTCGACATCGAGTTGGGCGACGGTACTGCTTCCGCACGAATCGCGAAGGAGAATCAACCACCTAATTCAGACTATGGGATTACGGAGGGATGGGAGTGTTCTCAGCCGGCTCCGAAACCCAAGTCCAAATTGCGCAAAATGTATGATTACTTTATGGAAGAGTATGCGCGTTTGGTGTGCGCGTTGGTCACGGGGTTCACGATAATCTTTGGCCTAATTACAGTGATTGTGCTCTATCTGCTGGGAAAGGTTAAATGGTGACGGGATTAAATGGCACGACCAATCGGCTCGAGAAGAATCGAACCAGTATCGATTGCTATTGCTTCTGCAAGATTGGACTTGGAAGCATATCATACAGTTGGTCCCGGACCGGTTCTTGACCCCTCTTTGGCGAGCGGAACTATATTAGCGAGCAGAGAGATAAGTAGTATTAATAAGAGGACCAAGCAGCTGCACAATTTCGATATAGATCAGCTCAGGCTTGACTGACAGTGAGAAGATGGCCGAGAACACGACAATCATTTTTATTCCTGGAGCTTGGCATCCTGCTTCTTCTTGGGAGAAAGTCGCCAAACTGGTCGAACAAGCTGGATACAAGACAGATCTTGTCGACCTCCCATCTATAGGGCCAAAAGAACATTTGAAAAGCTTCTGGCCCGACGTCGAAGTCATTCGCAAACACATCATCACAGCATCCGAAGCCGGTCAGAAGGTGGTCCTGGTCGTTCATTCCTACGGCGGCGTACCAACGACCCAAGCCGTCGAAGGCCTCGACATCAAAACACGCTCATCGCAAGCTCAACCAGGCGGCGTATCTCACATCGTCTACTGTACATCCTTCATCATCCCGGACGGCAAATCCCAAATCGGCGCTTTCGGCGGCAACAATCTTCCCTGGTTCATCATCTCTGACGATCAGATGGAATACTTTCCCGACAATCCTGCACATGTCTTCTACAACGATATGTCACCCGAGGATCAGAAATCCGCTGCTGCGTCTCTCAAGCCACATTCGTATCAGACTGCTCATACGGTTGTGACGTATGCGGGCTGGAAACATGTGCCGAGTACGTATATCTATTGCACCAAGGACAATGCGATTCCGTTGCACATTCAGCATATGATGGTGGAGGAGTTTGGGAAGGGGTTTGATATTCGGACGGAGACTTTGGAGGCTGGTCATAGTCCGTTTTGGAGTATGCCGACGGAGACTGCTGAGGCGATTATGAGGGCGGCGGAGAGTAGTTGATGGATGAGATGTCTGGTCGTATTGCTATTCAAATCTCCCGCGATTGCCTGAACTTGTCTACTGCCATCCTTTTCTGTTTTTTTTTTCTCTCGCTTGTTGCAATTCCCAGGGCCTTTTCCCGGTACGCAGATAATGAGATTGCAAGAGAGAAATGTCTCACGGCATTCGGCCGCGCAAGCCGAGACCGGGGCTTCAATGTTGCCCGAAATCGAAGGAGCGAAGTGGAAGGAAGATGTTAACCAGAGAAAGCCTTCACCATGTCCAATATTCTGGTCTTCGGCGCAGGTGGTGTCGGCTGTGTCTATGCCGTGATCCTGGAAAAGGGAGGCGCCAATGTAACCGCGGTACGATTTCTTGGCTGCAAGCGTGTCGACACGATTCTGGCTGACAGGACAGCACGCAGGTCTGTCGAACAAATTATGCTGCGGTCAAGGAGAACGGCATATTGATGCGGTCGGCGAAATGGGGCCACGTACGATCAAAGCCCAACGTGGTAGCAACATGCCACGAAGCTGCTCAAAATTTTGGACCTTTCGACTACATCTTAGTGGCCTCGAAAGCTTTCTCAGGCACAGCAGAGCTTATTGCCGATGCGGTCACGCCAGGGAAGACGGCAATTGTGCTGGCTCAGAATGGGATTCTGATCGAAGAGGACTACGCCACCAAGTTTCCCAACAACGTGATCATTTCTGGTGTCGTCTATCTACCCACGACCCAAGTTGAGCCGGGAGTCGTCGAGCATGGAACTCTACTCGAGCAGTTCGAAATTGGAACTTTTCCGGCCAAAGCATCTGCGGAAGCCAAGGCTCAGACGCAACGCTTTTCGGACATGTTCACTGCCTTTGGTGCCAAAGCTCCGGTCCATGATGATGTCCAGGCACGGCGCTGGATCAAGCTTTGCGTCAACGCTTCCTTGAATCCCATGACTGCGCTCAGCATGTGCGATGATGGCAACCTTCTGCGTTCTTCATCATATGCTATTTCTATGGTGAGAGAGGTCATGAGGGAAGTCGGCAGGCTTGCTGCCGCTGCGGGTTATCCTGATGCTGTCACGGAAGACGAAATCGAGTATCAGCTTTCCCGCCATATTGGACGTATAGAGACGGGAGGCAAGGAGCCGAGCATGTTGACTGATATCAAGTGTGGAAGGCACATCGAGGTCGAGGCGATCTTGGGGAATGCTGTCAGAAAGGCAGGTGAGTTGGGAGTAGCAGTGCCGTATCTGACGATACTCTACGTGCTTGCTAAGGGAAGAGATTTCTCGAATTTGAGGAATGGGGATTGGAAGCCGATCGTCGCGATAAGTTGAGGCGGTATAAGTCTAGAACTGACTACAATAGAGACCATGGTTAGAGAATTCAGGGGTTTTACAGCTTTGATGAAGCTTTTTCTCGCGAGCCTTGGAATACGATGTGGCCGTACTCAGCGAAACCTGGGCCTTGGTCAGTACACCAGCTCGTTCACAGCGAGCGAGTATCTGCCGTGCGACGTACCTTTATTACCACACCTCAGAATCACGGCGTGTTCAGCGAAGTGCTTGGTATGATGGTAAGCGTGGTGCTGCTCGGTCGTCGCCCACCCAACATAAACGACGTAGCACCTTTCGAACTTCTGGCTCGGCGCTTTCTTCTTGATCAACTGATCTCGTGGCCCAGGAACAGTCTCAACGGGCTCAAGCAGAGGACCTCCACTGCACCCGAGGCAGCCGTCAATGTATCGGACGATGTGAGTCCATAATGGCCAAGCACCTTCATCCCAAGCATCGGTCGTCTTCAAGTATATCGCCGTACCAGTAAACGGAGCGCCTCGAGCCAACGCCCGAGATTTTGGCGTCCAGTCTATCATCTGAGCATGTCTTATCACCGGGACTTGAGCATCGCCGACCATCGTCTCGATCAGAAACCGGACTCGCCGATATTCCTTTGACTTGAGAAAGTCATGGTGTTGCTGCAGCGTCTCGCGGACTAATGTAAAACGATCTGTCTCAGCCCGAACCCGATCTTTATTATCACAAACAAACAAGGCCGAGGGTTCTCACGCCTTCACTTATATAAGCTTCTGACCTACCAATGTGGATTTCAACATGTTCCGGATGCTCGAGGGATTGGCCCCAGTAGACTCTCAAGAAACCTGGCGCGTTCTCAATGCTTTCTAGCACCTCGTTCCATCTTTGATGCTCGAAGATCGGCTTTTCGGTCTTGTCAGGTAAGCGGAGATGTATGATTTGTGTGACCGGAGCATTCGATGTCGGATTCATTGCTACGGTCGAAGGATACTTTCAGGCTTGCACCAAAACAGTCAGTAGCGATATGGACGATCTGTACTTTATTCCTCTTCTTTATGTTTATCGGCCGCGGATCTCTTCTCCGCTCTTTGACACTTACCGTGAAAGTATCGGCTGTTCTTCTAGCAATTGCATCGGCTCGACCACGAGCTTGACCCCTCAGAATCAAATCCTTGACCATTGTGGAGGGGCCCTCGGCTGGCGCACCGAAGCTGCAACCAACGAAAGGTGCGGTCGCTTTCTTTTACAGTCTCACATTCGTTCGACTGTTTAGGGTATGATCCTTTGTACGCTGACAGCCATGCTGTATGTCAGCGTCCATAGCCGATTAGCAACCACCTATAACGCTCTTATATCACGCCTGTCAGCTCGGCCTGATGTAGCCCAAGAAGTTGAATACCGCACACAAAACAGCCAAAGACTTATGTAGCAGCATCATGGCTCCGATGACAGACTTTCATGTCAAGGAGAAATACACCTACCTCAACGGCTTTGGTAGCTACCACTCGTCAGCGCTTACGTATCACTAAACTTCGCTCAAACGAATACTAAAATGAAGAACAGATCCGAGGCCATACCAGGAGCAAATCCTCTGGTGAACAACAGCCCTCAGAAGCCACCGTTTGGTTTGAGAACGGAACGCATATCCGGAACATCATTCACAGCTCCGCGAGAACAAAACTTGCAGACATGGCTCTATCGAGTGACATCCTCGTTAGAACATAGCGAGTTCGTGCCACTCGAAGAAAAACCCCCAGTGCCTTCCAATATCTCTCCGAACTCTTATATGTGGCCAACATTCCAAGCAGACGCAGATTCAAACTGGACGAAGCAGCAGCTACTCGCTCGGAATGGCGATCCGACTCAAAAGCAAGGTCTTGCGATCTGGGTCTTCGCGATCGACAAGTCGATGGAAGAGCGTCAAGCTTTCTCTTCTCTCGATGGAGAGATTCTGATAATTCCGCAAGCTGGTACTCTGGACATCCAAACAGAAATGGGAAAACTTCTGGTGCGACAGAATGAAATCGCAGTGATTCCCAGAGGGGTTCGACATCGGGTCACACTTCCGAATGGTCCGGCACGAGGCTACGTCTGCGAGCTTTTCCAAGGGCATTTTAAATTACCAGATCTTGGAATCGTGGGATCGACGGGACTGGCGAATGTCCGAGACTTCCAAATTCCGACGGCGTTCTTCGAAGGCCAGGTCAAAGGCGATGTTGCTCAAGCTAGTGGTGGCGGCGAATGGACCATCAAGTCAAGAATGGGTGGTCGATTATGGCAGTGCAAACAGGATCATACCCCTTTCGACGTTGCCGCTTGGCATGGGACCAATTATCCTTACAAATACGATTTGGCCCGCTTCAATGTCCTCGGTAATGTGCTCTTCGACGAGCACGATCCATCACTATACGTGATTTTAACAGCTCCTGCGCATGGAAAGGAACCTGGGACTGCAGTCGTCGATTTCGCACTAATTCCCCCTCGCTGGATGGTGTCGGAGGATACACTATGGCTGCCGTATTATCACCGAAACACCATGTCAGAATTCTATGCTCCGATCATCAACGCGCAAGATCCGAAGCATCCTCTGAATTCTGCGAGTCAGAAGAACGAATTCTTTCCTTTCGGTGCTGGGCTTAATGGGGGTAATGTGACTCATGGTGCGAATGAGGAGGAATTCCAGAAGGCTACGAATGAGGATCTGAAGCCGAAAAAGGTTATGGATGATGGTCTTGCGATCATGTTGCTGGAGACGGAGCTGCCGTTGTATGTGAGTGATTGGGCGGAGGAAGCGGCTGTCAAGAACTTTGGGCAGAATAAACCGGCAAGATCCAAAATGTAGTAGAATAGAGGCCAAGCGAGAGATTCGAAAGCGGTCCCAGCCACCAGCTCAATTCCAATTTGTCGTCTGTGGCGGGGTAGAAGCGTGAAAGCTGGTTCACTTCTCACATCCCTGTGAAAACTTTTGACTTAACAGCTATGTATTAGCAGGACCTCCCAGCCCTCAACCAATTAAACCACGCAACGGTGGCATAGTATAGTGGTCAGTACAGCTCGTTGTGGCCGAGCAGACCTCGGTTCGATTCGTATGTCCTCTTCGCTGTCTGTTACATCTTCAAATGCTAACAATGTTGCAGCGGGTGCCGCCAAGAGACTTCCAATATTTTTGCAGTTGCAACGCAGTTTTCAGTTCAGCGTTCCTTTTGCTCGTTGACCAGGCCCCCGGCAATATTGACGCAGTTTGTGCGAAGTCTTGGGCTGTGCGAGTCATATTTTTGAAGCTTGATATGAGATCTCTAGGCTTTCACGCTGCCTACTTGGCCGCTAATCCACTCTTCGTACCGACAATGCTAACAACATCCTCGTCCGCCACAGGATGCTGAAGCCCGACACGCTGAGGTATATGCCGCGCGCTTGCTCCCCATACCAGCGCATACTTGAAGCTCTCCTTCAGAGTCCTGTGGATGGCGTCGCACACGTCTTCGATTGTGCTGTTGTTCCGGACGATGAGTGCTTCATCGAATACTGGGTCGACACCTTTCCGTTTCGTATAAATTCGGATGAGCCTCAGTTCCTCCCACGCCCTGTCCACGACATCTTGAATGCCAAGATCCAGCTCGCAGCTCATGACTGCTGTGTGTGGCTCTCGTGCTAGTTTGTCGAGATGCTCTAAGCTGATGGCATCGATTTTGTTGTACACGTAGAGGCATTTGATATATGTTCTGTGGTCCTTCATGATGACATCGATGAATTGGTCGATTGTAGCTGGGACTTGTTAGTATGGCATAGGCATAGCATTAGTTGATCATGCCGAGATCTAGTCTGCTCGTAGGTGGCCACTTACCATTTTCGTCTCGCACAAGCACTTCGCAATTGAGGATCTTGTAATCTCGCAGAATGTTGTACAGCATCTTCTCGTCCAGGTACTTCGGCGGTGACTGGAAAGTAATCTTCATGCCGCCAGCCTTCTTCGGCTTGAGGTAGATGTTGGGAGGATCCTGATTGAGTCGGATCCCAACAGCTTCCAGTTCGGCTTCAAGCAGAGATCGCTGCTCGGCGCGCTTCGTAGCGTCAAGAATCATCATAACCATATCGCTCGTCTTCGCTGCTGAGATGACCTGTCGACCTCTGCCTTTCCCTTCCGAAGCACCTTCAATAATACCAGGCAGATCCAGAATTTGGATTTCCGCACCACCATATTCCATCACACCAGGGATGGCTGTGAGTGTCGTGAAGGCGTACGCGGCAACTTCAGACTTCGTTTTCGTGACCTTCGACAAGAACGTTGACTTGCCGACAGATGGAAATCCGACCAGTGCTATTCGAGCATCACCAGATTTGGACACATCGAAACCAGTTCCGGCAGCGCCACCAGCTCCGGGACCAGGTTCGAGAAGTTGAGCACGCAGACGAGCAAGTTTTCTGTATGAGATTAGTCTTTGAGATTCGTGAGAACATGTTGCTATGTCAATGCATACCCCTTGAGCAAACCGAGATGGTATTCTGATGGTTCTCAGCATGTTTCGAACCTGAAAGCGTGAGGAACGTACCAGTAGCCTTGTTCTCTTCGACAGGTTAGCTTGCGTCGCTTCACCGTCGTCAATGGGCATCAGTACTCTGCGTCCTTTTCATCTCATCCTCAATCCTGCCGGCACGATCAGCCACAGCACTCGACCGAATCCGTCTCTTCCTTACTCCTTGATCTTGTCCGTGATGTTCACCATCTTGGCTGATGGCGCTCGGATACGACTCTGTCTTGCAATGCGACGAGATGGCCTACAGCGAGTTGTCTTGTTGGTGGCTCGCACGTCCTAGTCTAGTCGCAGATTTGCAAACAGAGCCGCGCGTGGAAAGTTCTTGCCTCAGGTTGGGTGACTTGGGTCAGAGCTTGCCGACTTTTCGCCGAAGATTTGGATGCTCCAGTGACCACTTCAACCGCGTCATTGACGCGACGTGCTGCTGTAGTATGTTTGGAGCCCCAATTTCAAGGTTTCCATATCATCATCTCACGTTCAGAAGGCAGATTTTGAGAGTAAAGATGAAAGACAAAGCCGCTCGATTCTGCACGACCCTGGCCACTTCGAAATAACCACACCATGGGTCTACCGGAACTGAAGCCCGGAGTCACGTCCGCTCGATCAGTCAAAGCATTCTACGACCAGCGATACCAGGACTTGATCGACTCTGGAGAGTATGTGCCTTTCCTCTACCCATGGGCCACGGTAGGAGCGGCTGTAGTACTTGTATACCTCCTGATTGATCACCGCCGGTCTCGGATTCTCCAAGCCCTTCGCTTCCCACTCTTCGGATTTCTGTGTGCCTTCTCGGCATGGAGCATTCTCAATCACAAGGCTAGGAGCGCCGCGGCAGCGTATGGAGTAGGACTGGTGCAGTCATGGGGTACTCTGTGGACGGGCGCCATCATCTTCTTCAATGATTGCCAGACCGATTTCAAAAGGATTGAGCGAGCAGACGCGCATGAGACCAACACTGCCAGCAAGAACGCTTCCAATGGATCAGCAACCAGAATTCATGAAAATGGAATGATCAAGACTGGATCTTCTTCTACGGGAGGGGTTTCACGAAAACCAGGCTCGTTGATTTGGCAGTCATACCCAGAAAGCTTTTCTATCAAACGTCTAGACTGGATCGCAGACGTCTTCTGCAGCTTCCGAGGCGTAGGCTGGTCTTTCGAAACAAACGGCATTCCCCCACTGCCAGACTATGCAGAACTCGAACTCCACGGCAATAACAAGCTAGCTCGCCCGAGCACAAGCAACGAAACAATGACCATCTCTCGCACCGGCATCCGACGCTTCACCGACCGCACAGCTCTTCTCAAAGACACTATAATCCGCCTAACACTCGGCGCCATGGCCCTCGACACCATCAAGTGCCTCATGCACCACGACGCCTACTTCTGGGGCTACATGGACGCCCCACCACCCGCCTGGCTCTTTCCTCACCTCCAACCCCTGCCTCCCAGCCTCAGCCCAACAATCCTAAAATCCTACCGCCTCCTCCTCTCCCTGTTCGGAATCCACTTCTCCCTCCACCAAATCTTCCGCCTCGGCCCCCTCCTCTTCGTCGAAATCCTCGGCCCCAGCAAAATCCTAGGTCTCCGAAGCGAACCATGGATGAACCCCCCGGACGCATTCGGAGCCCTTTTCTCCCCCATATTCGACCAAGGCCTTTCCGGCTGGTGGGGAAATTTCTGGCATCAAATGTTCAGATTCTCATTCGAAGCCCCTTCGACTCGAGTTCGAGAAATTTTCAAAATTCCGAAACGGAGCGAGAAGGGGAAAATTTTGGGGCTGGGGATTGCGTTCTTTTTCTCGGGATTTTTGCATGCGTGTGGGAGTTTTACGCAGCTCGGGAATACGAGGCCGGGGTTGGGACCTTTTATGTTTTTTCAGTGGCAGACGGTTGGGGTTGTGGGACAGATGTTCGTGGCGAAGAAATTGAAAAATGCGGGTGTCACGGATCAGATGCCGAAGGGGATACGACAGATGACGAATTTCTTGGTCACGATTGTTTGGATGTATTGGACTGCGCCTTTGCTGGTGGATGATTTCGCGAAGGGTGGTGTGTGGCTGTATGAACCACTTGCTTTCAGTCCTCTGCGCGCATTGGGCTTTGGAGCGGCAGATGATAGATGTTGGGATCTTTGGCATGGGCTCATATTTTGGCATCAAGGAGAGCATTGGTGGAATAGCGGTCTTGCGTTCTGAGCGTGGCGTAACGAGTCTGGCATGATGACTTTTGAGCGACTATACACATATCGACAGCTTATACAAAGATCTGTACAGGATACCTCGATCTGGACAGGATACCTCGATCTGCTTCCTCTAGGCTGCTTTCTTGATGCTGCCGTTTGTGGCCGTTGCTTTCTTGGTCTTGACGACCAGCCCTTTTGGCGGCTTCAGCCCTCCAAAGACAAGTCCGCATACAGCAACCATGCCTGAACCACCGATGAGATAGGCAAGATCTCGGCCTGCCCACCAGTACAGCGAGCAGAAGATCAAAGGTCCAAGAGCTCTTCCGACTTGTCCAAAGCTCCTGTGGTGTCCTAGTTTCTCGCCTCTTTCATCCGCGCTTGCTTCAAAGCTGCTCAAGCTGTTCAATCCCGTGACAACAGTACTGCTTGTCACCGCGAGCATGGCCGCGGCGAAGTACAGTCCGCGCTCAGTCGTGATCTTTGAAAGGGCAAAGAAGCCAATGGCGCAGGCCACAACGCCCAATTGTACCACGCGAAGTGGGTGCATCCGCCGGGTCACGCCTCCTTGGAGAATCGAAGCTACCAGTCCAATGAAGCCTAGCAGACGACCGGTCTCCTTGCTGCCGTACGCGAATAGCTCGTAAGTCATGAATGGCAGAGAGAACTCCATTCCCGAGAAGAAGAGGATAAAGGTGAAGTGGGTCAGATTCAGCAGGGTGTGCGAGTTCGTCCTCTCCTTCTTCTCGATCGCATTGTTGTTCTTTAGTGCCACGCCATTCTGCTTTGGCTGTCGGGAGGGATGCGTCTCCGGGAGCGAGAAATAGAGGTAGAGGGTCTCGGTTACGATCAAAGCGAGTGATACACCGGCGGCGGTGGCGAACGGGTTGGCGGCGACAGTGGTGATGGTAGAAAGGTAGGCGCCCAGAGCTGGACCGAACGTGAAAGCGATTGAGAAGCATGCGCCAACCAGAGCCATAGTCTTGCCACGAGTTTCTTCGGTGCTAATGTCCGTAGCTATGGCGAGGGCAAGCTGCACATTGCCTTCGCTCAGGCCTCCCACTATGCGGCTTGCGAGGAATGTCCTGAAGTCTGTTGCTGCGCACCACAGCGCAACGGAGGCAATGTTGCCAAGCATCGACCAGAGCAGAGCTGTTCTCCTGCCATACTTGTCCGACAGCGTTCCAATGAATGGCGAGGCTATCGCTTGACACAATGAGAAGAGCGAGCCGAGCGCTCCTCCCAGGAGAACAATGTCATATCGATCGCTTATAGGCTTCTTGAAGCTGTTCTTGTATGCGTTCAGCGCGTAGAGGACTTGCGAGAGGGCGGTGGAATCGGATTTGACTTCGATGGCGCGGTAGAACTCGAGTAGCTTTGGGAAGAGCGGCAGGATGAAGGTGAAGGATATCTGCGACTTGTCAGTCTACCACGAGCTTGCACAGCTGCCCTGCCCTGCCCTGCCACGGCTCGCTTGCAGCGGAGCGGAGATAGTGGACTTACCAGATCGAGCACAAGGGATATCACCAGCACTCGCAAGACCTTCTTGCGTAGCTGTGGCGACACGTCCGCTGGATGAGCTTCGGCCGCCATGCTGCTGCGTGTAACTCTCGTTCGGCCAGGAGACGTCGACTCGGGAAAGTAGCAGTAGCAGCAATGAAACACGTCCGCTGCAATTTCACGCGCAGCAGGGCTCTGGAGATGACTTAAGAGTGTTTCCCTCGCCAGCCGGCACAAGATAAGCAGAAATTGGTTCGCCGAGGTCTCTCATCACAAACTGCAAAGTGTCCTCTCCTCTGTGCCTCTGCTCGCCAGCGCAGCGCAGCGCAGCGAACGAGACGTGAACAAGCTCGCGCCATCGTGAGAGATCGACAGACCTGCGTCAATATGGCGATGGCGATGGCAATGGCGATGGCGATTGGCGAGTTTGGCCACGGCACGCCAGCATCACCCCGCAACCCTGTGACGCGTCAGCTCAGTCACATAACAGGCACGTGACTTCTTGGCTTAAAGAATTTTCTATACTGTATTTTAGACTATAGAAGAGATAGAACATAGGCAATCAACGAAGCCAATTCAACCGCCGGCAATATAGTATTACGTAAGTAATCTACTACGCTATACGTAATAGTTATAAGCCCGGATTTAATCCGTAGTATTAGAGACTTCTATAGTAGGAAAGAATTTTCTATTCTACGAGACCTTTAATAATCGACAGTCTTAACGGCACTATAAATAATAACTATTTAAGCTTCTATAAGCCTTTATAATCGTTTTGAATTTAGTATATCCTTAATAGCCCTCTTATTAGCTAGTCGCCTCGGTAGGAGTAAGCTTATTATCCTTCGAGGACCTAATAATTAGGATCGACAGTTTAAGTAAACTAAGATATACCTAACTAGATATAAGACCTAGGTCCTTACTAATCTATATTCGACTAAGCCTACTAAACTAGTATAACCCCTTCTTCCGGAATTCGATATAGAATAACTTATAAGCAACCCCCTATATTAGGCTAGGGCTATAAGAAGGGTATATTAGTAGGTAGATAGAGTAGTAGTAGGTACGAGTAGTATTCGATAAGGATCTAGGAGGAGAGGGAGGAAGGTAGGAGAGTTAGCCTAACGCTAAGCGCTAAGCCCTACCTAAGGTATTAAGACCCTAGCTTTACTCGGCCTAGTTATATACTAATTACGTATAGCCTCTTTAGCCCTAATATACGCTTCCCTTCTAAAGGCCGCGCCCTTATAGCCTACCTATATTCTAATCTCGACCCCTATTACTACTAACTTAGCAAATCTAATAAGCTACTTAGCCCGCGCTAAATTAAACGCTTAACTACCTAATTATATAACTATGTCAAACCTTACCTCTAATACAATATAATATATACTTCTAACTACGCTATCCCTATATATAATAAACTATAAAGTAATATATATCTATAAGAATTAAGGGCCTTCGACTAATTATAATACGAGTGCGTCTTCCCTACTATAATAGGTAGACGTACGAGGTATTATAGCCCTACCTCCGTTCTAAGTAATATCGTACCGAGTTCTTTGCGTCTACTCTTAAAAGACCTAGAAATGTCCGCTTCCGAGGGTTGTTCTTATTATTACGAGGGCTATTATTTACTATCGTAGTCTCGCTAGCCCTAATTAGTTAGGTTTAGTAGCCTTTAATTGTTAATCTTATCTTATCTTTTAAAAAAACACAGCTTGTCTAGTTTCTATAAGTAAAGGCTATTATAAGTATAGTAGTAGAGGTTCGCCTCGCTTAAAGAATTAGACAGATCGAGGAGTAACCTATTATCCGCAAGATCGACCCCGGCTAGCTTAGCTCTATAGTTTTGCCCTTAGTTAGCTAGTCTATTAGTCGCTTAATCTTTTAAGCAGCTTAAAGTTTTAATTAAAGTTTTAATTAAACTTTTAATATAGCTATTCTTTTAACTTAATTAGTATAGCGCGCTTCCGGCCTTAGGCCGTAGTATAGGTAAGGTTGTCTTCGTAAGTGTAGTAGCAATAGCAGGTAATATTAATAATAGCGGCGCTAGTCGTCTTAGCGCTAACTTTACCTTCTTCTAGTTTCCTTCTTTAACTAATAACAACTCGGCAATACCGTTACTAACTGTAAGAAGGGTATTGTAAGAAGGGTATATTAGCAGGTAGATAGGGTGGTAGTGAATTAGTGTAGTATTCGATAGAGATCTAAGAGGAGAGGGAGGAAGGCAGGCAAGTTGGCCTAACGCCAAGCGCTAAGCCCTGCCTGAGGCATCGAGACCCTAGCTTCACTCGAGCCCGGTTACATACCAATTACGTGTAACCTCTTTGGTCCTAATATACGCTTCCCTTCTAAAGGCCGCGCCCTCGTAGCCGGTCTTTGTTCCAATCTCAATCTCCGTTACTACTAACTTAGCAGGTCTAATAAGACGCTCAGTCCGCGCTGAATTAAACGCACAACCACCGATTATGTAACTATGTTAAACCTCACCTCCGAACAATACAATGTACAACTCTAACTGCGCTATCCTTATATACAATAAAGTAAAGGGATATAAAGCTACAAGAATTAAGGGCTATCGACTAATTACAATACGAGCGCGTCTTCCCTGCTGTAACAGGTGGACGTACGAGGTATTGCAGCCCTACCTCCGCTCTAAGTAATGTCGTTCCGAGTTCTTTGCGTCTACTCTAAAAGACCTAGAAATGTCCGCTCTAAGGGTTTGTCTATTCCGAGGGTTGTTCTTGTTATTACGAGGACTATTACTGTTCGTAGTTTCGCTAGCCCCAATTAGTTAGGTTTAGCAGCCTTTAAGTGTTAGCTAATCATATCTTTTCAAAAAACACAGCTCGTCTAGTTTCTATAGGTAAAGGCTATTATAAGTGTAGTAGTAGAGGTTCGCCTCGCTTAAAGGGTCGGAAAGATCGAGGAGTAACCTATTGTCCGCAAGATCGACCCCGGCTAGCTTAGCTCTATAGTTTTGCCCTTAGTTAGTTAGTCTATTAGTCGCTCAATCTTTTGAGCGGCTCAAAGTTTTGATTAAAGTTTTGATTAAAGTTTTAATCAAAGTTTTGATTAAGGCGCCTTAGGCTCGTAGTATAGGTAAGGTTGTGTCTACAGACGCAGCGACAATAGCAAGTAATGTTAACAATAGTAGCGCTAGTCGTCTTAGCGCCAACTTCACCTCCTTTAACTAACAATAACTCGGCAATACCGTTACTAATATAGCGGTGTCCTTCCTTTCTCAAATAGCAACACACTCCGCAATACTATTACCAATATAGCCGCGCCGGCCGCGCCGTCCTTCGCTAGCTCGTAGCGCGACGCTATCGTCTTTATTACCGTTATTCGTACGCGCGTACGCCCCTATCGATCGCTTAGGCCTTAGGGCCTCGATAGAATAAAGGAACAAGAGGGGCGCTAAGAGAAGGGTCTTATAGGGTGCGCTAGTGAAGAGGTGGATTCTATAATAGTGTAGTCTTATTATCCTTTGTTGCTAACAATTGCTTACCTCTAATTAGTTAGCTAATAGCACCCCGGGGGTAGCACTGTCCTAGGCTTAGTAGTAACATTATAGGCACTATAAGCTCTTAGCCTTCTTCGTGTTCTTTACGCTAGTCCAATACTTATCTAACAACTTAGTTATATCCTCAAACGAGTCTTTAGCCTCCTATGAGTCCTATTTAGGTAAATAGCCTTGCTATCTTAATAGGTACTCCTTCTTGCCTTACCTAGTCCGGTGCTTTAGAATACGTTCTATAGACTACAGTTCCTCACTATCCGCTAGTATGTCTTCATGTTTAGTAGGGGCTTCTTTATCAGAGTCTCCGCGGTAGTAGTATAGTTTGAGGAGGGAGATGTAGAAGGTGTTATAGATAGTGTAGTATAGTAGGAGCTATAACTGGTAGGCCTAGCCATTGCCCTTCGGTTCTCGGATTCGGAATGGGCTAATGTATCTAGGTGCAAGCTTGGGCCTTATTTTGCTATTAGGTGATAGGTGTTTGCGGATACGGAGGTTCTTAGTGCTTAGCATAACTATATCGCCTTGCTTAAAGGTCATTAGCGTGTAGTGTTTGTTATAGTAGGCCTTCTAATATGCCTAGGCCTTTACTAGTTTGTTAGCTATTATGGCGTGAATTTCTCGCATCTTTTAAACCCTCTTAATAGCCGCTAGCGTCTTAGGTGTTAGTACTTAACGCGCTTCCCTTTCCTTGCGCTCGGCCTCGAGCGACAGGGGGTCTTATAGCAGCGCAGGGTTGCTTCCTATTATAGCGAAGTAAGGTGACACCTTAGTAGATAAGTAGACACTGTTATTATACACGAATTCGGCTAGTTATAGGAGGTTGACCTAGTTATTAGGGTTCTTATTAATGTAGCTACGCAGGTACTGCTACAGCGTAGCATTCTGCCTTTCGGTCTAACTATCTGTTTATAGATGGAATGCTATAGACAGGCGATGCTTAAGTCTCAGCTGCAGGCAAATCTCACTCTAATAGTGAGATGTGAATGTCGGGCCTCGATCGGAGACTATCCCCTTAGGGGTTCCCTAATAGCTATAGAAGATGTTGCTCTATAGCGACTTAGCTAGGTTAATAGCCGTCTAATCCTTTCGGGTAGGAATATAACGAGCGCCCTTAGTAAACCGATCTACGACAACTAGGATAGCATTATACACATCCTTACTGCCCCTACGCTTAGCAGGCGGGAGGCCTGTAATGAAATCCATTGTAAGCTTAGCAAATAGCTTCTTTGGAATAGGGAGTGAAGACAACTCGCCAAATAGTAAGTGCTTTAGTGCTTTAACTCGTTAACATACGGCACACGTGTTTACGTAGTCCTTTATGTCCCGCTTACTATTTAGCTAGTAGTATATACGCGATAGTAACTCGTGCGACCTCTCTATACTATAGTGACCGGCAAGCTTACTATTATAGTGTCGCTTAAGAAGTTCTTGTCTAATCGATTGTTTAGCGGGGACATAGTATCTACCCTTGAACCTTAAGTAACCTTTGTCGTCGATCGACTAATTGTTACTCTTACTAGATCGAGTCTTTCGCCTACTTACAAGCTAATCTATACGAGCCGCAGCAAAGGCGTCCCTCTACTAAGCACGTAACAGCTCATCTATAAACGATTGACTATCCCTATTTATAAGGTTATTTAACAGCACCCTCGCTATTAAACGAGGTACGCATTGTATGCATCCAATGGCACTAGTAGCCGGATTAACTGCATTAGTACTATCGCTATTACTATATATTGCGATGTCGACTAGGGAGTTATTATAACTTCTCCTGTCTGTGTCTTTAGCCCTTGCCTTAATACGCACTGTTAATATAGCAAGAGCATTAACATGCTTTAAGCCGTCGCGGAGTCCGGTAAGCCGCTTATCCTGCGCTTGCTTATTAACAATACGGGCTATAGCAATCTTATACTGCAGGGTTGGAAACAAAGAATTGATATACTAGGTCTCGCTATTGTAATTAGGCCGCCTC